TATAATTTTATATATACACTACAGTATTCCAAGAATAAATATTCTAATTCCTTCTTTTATTGTTCTAACGTTTTCACAACTTTCAAGCCCGGGTGCAATTCTTTTTATTTTAACAGCCGTTTCTTAAAATGTAACTTAATCAAATATATATTTTGTTTGTGGTAATTAGACAGTGAAACAACAACTACGTAAATTTTAAATTTTGTGTAGATAAATAAACAAAAACTTTCGGCGCTGCGGGATTCGAACGACGCGAAAATCTTGACATCTTGTTGAATGTTTTAGTGTCGTATGCTGTAAAGAATGCACACTGGAGAGCCAAGGCTGGCTAAAATGCAATAGAATGAACGTAGATAGATGTGAAGATGCATAGATTTTCGCGCCATGAGGTCATAGGGCGGTTAGCTTAGTCGGTAAAGCGTTTTGGCGCGAAACCAGAAGTCGCAGGTCGGAATCCCGCAGTCCCACAAGCTTTGATTCAATTATCTACAAAAATATTACAATTTAAAAAGTTTTATCTAGAGTGCAGAGCAGACTAGCACTAAAAATAAAAATTAATTAGTTTTAGTTTTTTTTATTAGTTTTTAAAAAAGTATTTTCAGAATTTATAAACCAGCAATAGGCTCTTTTTAATTCCAACTTATGAAATAGCAATTTCTTATATAAAATATGAATAAATATTCCAAGATATTATATTAAAATCTGAATTAAAAAATATAGGTGCTACATTTTCACTGAATACTCATTGTAACATTCAATTTTTTAAGTTATTTATCAATTATTTTGGAAAATTTCTCCAAACTACCCTTAATCAAGAAGGTACATGATAAAGTATTAAGATCTTAAAAAAAATCCTAAAATGAATATTAGTTTAATCTTTTCTATTAACATGTGAGTTTTACATCTTGATGTTATTTTTTATTTATTTTCAGCAAGACTATATCTGGACTTCGATAATTTATATGCTGTTCTTCTTCAGGAACTTTCTCTACATAGAACATTTCTATAAGCTTATCATAAAATTCATTCCAAAGTCGTTTTTGAACCTCTGTATCCCGTAATTCTTGTGTTAAATAAATTGTTGGTTTCTTCAAATGTGAATTATTTAAATTTTGTAACGTTTCAAGCAAAGGTTCAACAGCCTGAAAAACATTATTCGTTCAAATATATATAATTGTAATCACACTATTATGAAGATATTGAATTGATAATGTTACCTTTTATAATATTACTATAAAAATTATACTATAAAACGCACAGTACTAGAGAACTCAACATTCAACATAATTTTACTGATTTTTTATTGCACTGCTGTATTTGTTTCTATTGTTTTAACATTAAGTCAAAACAGTTTTCTTAAAAAGTTTTAGTAATTTCTTTATATATTATAACTAGTATCTGACCCAAGTTTTGGTCTAGCCCATAGTTTCGGCTCCGTGAGAATCGGTGGTGCGATTGTAGGTTTATTTCCTTTGTGCGTGTTAAGTTTTTAAAAGGAATAATTATTTGATTTACACAAATACTACAAAATTGAAATTGAAAAAAAACTATTGGCTTGATAACGAAATTCGGCCCAAAAATAAATCATTCTGTCCATGTTAATGCGGATACTTAACCTATTATTTTTGAAGCATACAACTAAAATCTGCATTCATAATTTCTGAAACTTAGAGAAAGGCCAAAGGTTCTAACATAGTTTTGACTGAAAAACCTATTTCGGTCAGACAGTAATTATAACATCATAATAGAATTAATCAGTCCTAATAATTATTGTTGTATAAAATTTTTTTTAAGGGCTAGTGCTATAAGTAGTGCCAGCATAATATATATCTAAAGTGCATGCAACTACTAGTAAGCTTAGTTTTAAAATTTCACAAAACAGATACTACTGATGTATTATTGTAACAAATTCATGTGGAACAAGCCCTTTATCCTAACCTGAAGTAATAACTTTGTCAAAATTGATTGATACAAAAAAATATATACTTAGTTATATAATTTTAAGCCTTAGGGTATTAAAAAAAATTAGATTTAGAAATAGAAATTCCTTTGAAAAAAAATTAGGACAATAAATAAGACTGCGGTCACTGTCATGAAAGCAATTGTTGTTTCATATTAAGTAATTGCACATGTCAAGCTTAAAACAAGCAAAATATATAGCTTTTTTTTCCAATATCAGAACTGTCTTTATGCCACTTGTTGATTACAAATCTAAACAAAAATACAAACACTTGCAAAAAGGAAATTCTAGACTATTGTTATTAAATATAACTTCATAAGTTATTTACATATTATTTATAAAAACTTAGATATAAATAGAAATTATTACATTTGCAGCACATTTATAAAAATTAGTCACAAATATTTGCTTTTATGTAGTTATTCTAAATATTCAAACTAAATGTTTGTTATCACTGAATTTATCTTTTCAGACATGCTTTTTTATTCACTTTAAAATATGGGGAAAATAGAGAACTAACAAAATCATTGATGACAGTTTTTAAAATAGGTTGCGGATTCTCAAGAAACAATTTACATTTAAGCCTTTTAAACTTACTTTGATATTTCAATATTACATTTTTATTGAACTAGAACAAAACTATTTTCTAATGACAAGAATAACCACTAATATACTATATATGTGAACTATAACATGCAATATAAAGCAAATATAAAACAATACTCATAACTGACCAACAAGGCAAACAAATAAATGTAAAAATCTCATAACATAAGAATTTAGTTATCAATTACATCTTCATAGTAAACACAATCAGCTAAAACAACCATATCAAACTCTTGCTTATGTATATCTGAATTGTTGTCACCCCAAACTAATGCCTCAGCAATGGCATAGCCACCCATACTACCAATTTTTTGCTTATTCTCACTGATATTTAATCGTAGTAATGGTAAAGCTTCAGGCAAGTCTGTTAGAGTCACTTGTGCACTGGAATAGACACAAAGGCAAATAGCAAATACATTTAATAAAAAAATTATATTATCTCTCTATATATCTAAAATTAATAGAAAATTATTAATATTTTCAGCAAACAAACCCTAAGGTTGCAGCAGTCAATCCAACAACACCTAGTCCTGATCCTAATTCTAGCACCCTTGTTCCACTCAAAAAATCTGGTCTTTGATGACATATAGTTTCAAGATATTTTGCCAACACTAAAGATGCGTCCCATACAACACAATTTACATCACCATCCATTTTCTGATAAATTTTTAACGTTTTCAAACATATTTCAATATCAATTTCACGTAGAAACAGGTCATTAGTAGATAAACTACCTCTTCTGTGAGACATTTGCGTTAATTTTTTTCCTACTGTATAGGAAACACAACGTGATCGCGCGAAATTCATGAACATTCGCAAAAAAATATTTTTTATTAACTAGAACCGTCTCTCTCAACTGATGCTTTTGATACTTTTACTTTTACTAAAATATAACCATTCGACTCGATATGCTACTCAAATAGTACTTTTATATATCTGAAATATCAATCTGATGCTACTGCTACTTAGTACAAAATACTACTTATTACCTAAATTACTTGAATTTTAAAATTCAATTCACTTTGAGTTTTCTGTTCAGTGTCGCCAGCACTTGAAATCAGATATATAGAAGATTTAGATTTATTATATCAGATATTTCAGATATATAAAAGTACTCTTTGCTTGAAATTTTATCTCCCTAACCTAAGAGTAATTTCAAAAACGACTAAAACTCCCAACTGACAATTTGAGTGGGATATTTTTTAGTATTAAAATTTTTAATTATATTTTTGAAGTTATTCTTCTTCAGTGTGAATTTGATAAACTTGATTGATGAAATTTTAATAAAAATAAAAAATATGAGATTAAAATTTTTACGATGCGCGCGCACACCGACACCGACATGATCAAGTTGATTGGAAATTGGAATCAAGTTCATCAACTCAACTTCACGGACGGCACGTCAACATAAATTTATTACGTGATCAACGGTTTGAAGACCACGAAGCAGCTGTAGAACTTCAGACTGGAATTACTGTTTTAATGATTGGCTTGCACGAATGGAAATGTGCATTAAGTTGAACGGAGAATACTTCGAAAACCAATAAAATACAATTTAGCTATACCTTGCATGTGGTTTTTCTTATTCCCGATCATTTCAGTGTGCCCCTCGTACCATGGCAAACAAAACTTTTTAACAGATACCTATATGTAATTCCAAGTTATTTAATTAAACCGTTATCGATTACACTTAATATCTTTTTCATAAACAGAGTACTGGCACAGGGAATAAATTTTGTACCTTGTTATTTTTCTTTTGTTACGGAAAGGAGTATAAATACAAGTACACACACTTTTTATGATAAGCACCGAATATCTTTTAAGTTTTAGTCTAATATATTTAGTATAAATAAATAGTGAAAACTCAGTTAATATCACAGACTTATAAAGAGAAGACTTCTCTTTATAAGTCTGTGGTTAATACATGTTCAATGCTTTGTATAACATTCATCAGTAAAGTTAGATATACAATAACCTTTGTAAGATTTATTTCGAACTACTTTTCGATATTTTAACAAAATCCTTTTCTGGACTCAAAAGTTCCTGCTCCTGGTATTTATATTAATATCAGATCAAATTTTATTTAACGCTATTCAGCATAATTGCATTAATAAAACTGAAGGTGTGGCTTTGTACGATTGGCAAAGCAAAAAACTCGATTGTAAATGATCTTTAATCTAATGATCTATATTGAAAGTTGAATGAAATTGATTTTTAACATTTTGTCAATTAGACTGTTACATTTAGTCTTATTTCGTAATGCCAGTCCCAGACCTGCAAAACATAAATATTAGATTCAATGCAATATTAATATGGCATTACTAGCGTTCAAAAAATCGATAAAGTTGCCAGGCATTAAATCAAGGAGCAAATAAAATTTTCTTTTTGGTAAGACTTTAATCATATGACAGTCATTCGTCTTGATTCGCGAATCATGGGTGGAACTATGGCTCTTTTTTGCTTATCCCTTCTTATATCAATAATTGGTGAGTATTAATTCAATTTTATAGATTTACATGTACATATACATTTATATACAAATATGTTCTACAATAGTATATAATAATTTGTTGTTTAAGGATCTAATGCTGCTGGAGAATTTAGTGTACTTCATAGTCCAGAATCCCTAAAATTTTCGGGATCTAGCAAAGTTGGCGAAAGCCTGCTAAAGGAAATATTTTCAGCTTGTTTTGGCCTCTCTGTAGAAGAGGTTAGTGTTATCTCGATTTACTCTCAATTGACTCCTATTTTAATGACTGTTCTTATGAGCAATGTTACGAAACTTTTCAGAATTCTGATTGGAATGGGTTATCTATAGTAGATCCCTTTAACACCCCAGAAGCTATTGTAGAAGTTTATATTGAAGGCGTATCTGGCCTTGGGAATGCTGTAAGTCTTGTTTTACCTTGAGGTTTAATTATGCCTATATTAAAGTTTTTGGTAATTTTTCACTTAATATTTCTGGAGCAGCGATTGATAGTTTCATATAATAATAAAAAATCACACACCATGTACATTTTGCAGTAAAACAACTTAATTTTTATATTGATGTTAAATATTTTTAAACTGGATATTAAAAATTTTTAATGTTGTGTGTCAACAGGATAGGTTGTCCATTGAGTATATGATTTCAAGCGACCACATTTATCTTAAGCGATATATAATTTTATACTAAATTTTTAGGCCCATCTTGATGCAAAAAATTACCCACTAGTGGTTGATGAGTATGAACCTGACACATTTGCAGAAATACGTCACAGACTTAAGCAGCGCTTTACTAATGGAGGCAACATTCTTGTTGATGTTAAATTGTCTGAGCCAGGAGAGGTAAGTCATTTAAATATTTAATTTGTAAGCCATGATGTGAAGTTGTTTTATGTATACATTTGTGCATTCTGTGTTTTACAAATTTTCAGTTTCAATCATATTCTGAAGTTTTTGGAAATGTAGCTCCACTTAAGGTTACCAAGCAATCACTGCAGCACTTGAAGCTCAATGTGGAAGAAGACTACCAATTTCTGGCAGAACTGGAGGCACTAAAAGCATTTATTAATAAGGTAACTAGAAATACCAAATAGAAATATCAAATGTAAATATCAAATGTTCATGGTAGGGCCACCCAACTTGTCTTTGCTGTTGCACAAATGTGCAGGGCTGTTTGGAGAAGTATTTCAACCTCACAGATTACTGGGGTGAAGTGGAAATGCTCTTACTCAAAATGATCATACTTGTGCGTTTTGTCCGGTGAGCGAGGTAACCAGAGCCAACAAAAAAAAATGGCATTATATGTACAACCCTATAGGCGCTGCAAATGTTCATGGGTGGCAGTTATCTCTTAACATCGGGTAAACTGCCAGATTGCTTGCCACCTTGACATAAAAAAATTATACAGGGCTTTTCTAAGTTTATCTATTTTTTTTATTAATTTCTAGACATAAATAATGTAACATAAAAAATGATAAATATTTAAAATCACTTGTAAGCAATTAAATACATTCATTTGAACTTATCTCGAAAAGTGCGTGATTTATGGGCAACTCATTTATTTAACGCGCGATCATTCATTTATATCACCACACAAGTTCGTTTCAAAAGTATATGACGCATTTATGAATGACCGCATTGTCAACAAGTACCATTTTTTTAGGGAATGGAATGGCAATTTTTTTTTTAAAAAGTTTGTTTTTATGTCAATAAACGATTATACTACCGAGTCTGAACCTCCTGTGTGAATTTGGGCACCTTTAGGTAAGCCACCCTGTATACTGGACAAGTACACTTGAAAATTATAAAGAGTGTTAATTATTCCCTACATTGTACAATAGCCATAAAAAGAAACAATAAAACTTCTTAATCACTATATTTTATCATAGAATTTCACTTTGCCTTATTATGTATTTATGCCTAGGTTCAGTCAGGCGCAGTCAGCCCAGACAACATTGTTGATTTCTACAACTTTAGATTCCGTTCTCTCCACGCCTTGTCTGACTTCCATGGACCCAAATCATTACAAGCTAAAGAAGCAAAAAAATTGCTTGGTAAGATTTATTACATCAGTGGATTAGATTAATTTATGTTTGAGTCCCTCATTAATATTGAACATATAATGCCCATAGGTGAGGCCCTTGAAGATCTCAGCAAAGCTTTTGTTAAAGCTTATGATGGCTCTGTGTTGGTAACAGCAGTAACTACTGATGTAGCCCATACTCGCCGTGCTGTCCGTGCTGCAATTGAACCAAGAGATGAGGTATGCTTTTAATCATTTCAGCTATAGTTATTTTGACACTGTGTGGTCATCATTGCAAGTTTTCAAAATGTTAGTAATTGAAATTTTTAACATGTAAATCTCTACACATCAGTTCTAAAAGATATTACTGTATCTGTAAAAAGTATCTATCTACAAAGTTATAAACGTACCAACTGCTAAGGCAGATGCTAATTGGGCTTCTAAGAATGCAATTTTTTTTTTAAATGTCTCTTTTTTAATTATTTCAACTTTAAACAAAATTTGAAAAGGTTTGGTACAAAGTTAATCAGCATGTTAAACACGCTTAGTAGTTTGTACTGTAAAATTCAATCCTTCACAAAGAAAAAGTTTAATTAGAATTAACTAGTGATAAGTCTATAAGATAAAGATATTTTAGTATTGATATATTTTTAGGTGACACAAGACGACGACGCATATTCCGCAGACTATGCAGCCATCTTCAACATTATTTTATGGTTTGGTGTTGTGTTTACATTCACCCTTGTTGCTATAGTGTATGCAATCATGGACATGGATCCAGGCAGAGATTCTATCATCTATCGAATGACTAACACTAGAATGAAGAAGGATAATTAAAAAGAAGGGTTTAACATTCCCACTTTCATGTCTTATTACTTATTAGTTTTACAAGTAGTATTGTAGAAAGGCATTTGTAATCCACTTGTCAATAATAATATCTTTATTCATAGAAACTTTGAAAGCAATCCAATTACCTTAAATTATTGCATGTAAATAGTAAAGTTGTTTATATGAGGTATACTAATTTGTTAATTCTGTTGTTTTTTTTGTTATATCCTACTGTTTAACCATATAATAAATTGGCTGAACAAAATTAGTATTTTATTATTCTGTAATAATTGAATTCCATTTTATGCTGTTTAGCAGACAAAGCTTATAACAAAATAAACTTGTTGTGGAATAGTGTATTTTAAAATTTTCCGTGTTATAAAAAGTATTATAAGATAATATTGGAAATAAAACTATGTGTAAAATAATGGGTTAATGTTTTATTTAAGCATTTTTATTTCAATTAAAAATTATCTAAACATTTGGCAATAAATGTTAAGGAAACTTTCATATTATTATTATTATTGTTACTTCATCATATCTGATTGTTATAATAAATATTCATTTAGAATTTTGAAAGGAATAGTTTTTACTTTAATAATACATTATTAACAATTCTATTTGAATAAATTATCTTATTAATATCATTGTTTAAAGTAACTCAGTTTAACTGATTCTGAAATTAAATGCAATTTTATATGCCATTAAAAAGACATAAATCTGTTTCACTTTGAGAAGTTTTTCCTTTAACTCAACTTTTATTAAATTTATAATATATATGAACGACACGATTTTTAAGTGTGTTAGTCTATTTAATAAAATATATTCATCTTCTTAGACCAAAATGTGATATTAAAATAAATTGTCTCATATTGTTAACATACATTTAGTATTTTATATTGTATGTTAGTATATATCTTATACTTTAGTTTAAAATAGTAAGGCACATTTTAATTATTATTATTATTAAATGGGGTAAATAATTCAATTACCAAAATACTTCTGATGTACATTTGCGGTAAAAAAAACTTACATTGACATGAAAACATTTGAAGCTTACAATAAAAAACAACATTACATATAGATATTCAGACAAGATTTGTCTGAATACTTAGTCATTTGAGAATGATAGATAATTCTATATGGAAGCAATAATACGGTTTTCTTTAAAAGATGCTATGCCGGACAAGATATAAATCTGTTAGGAGTTACAGTCAATGCCGCATTACATTCATTGTTTTGATTATATTATATATTTATAATTTCTGTAATATTTTGTATAAGCCCCGTTTGGAACTTAGTTTTTTTGAAAGTCGAAGGTACACGATTCTCGTGATATTGTTTGTTAATTTCTGCGTGGCGTATAGTGGTGAGCCCGGCGTAGACGCCGCCGTAGCTCCTGCGGGAAGCGCTCGTAGCAACGTCGGCAAGCTGGTCGCTCGTCGTACTCGTAGAACTTGCTACGAGTGCTTAATGCCGTGTCGCATACGGCGCATGCGAAGTGATGGACGCACCAGGCCTTGTTCAGCGCAGTGAAAACTGAAAGCATATTGTAGATAATTAGATCGATAATTTAATAACTAACAATGTTTTTTTAAATATCGCAGAATTGTATATAACAGCAATTGGCGGTGGCCTATTGGGCATATTTACTAAGCATAAATATCAGGTATTTAAATATGAAATTGCCGTTTGCCATAAAGTTCTCTCCGTAAACGTTATTGCTGTTAAGTGGCCGCGTTAGTGCCACGACGGAACGGACTCATATTCCATAATTACACAAATTTTAAGTATCCATTACGACGAAAAATGTTCACAAAAAATATAATAGCACGGAGTAACTTTTTTTTTTTTTTCGTTTTTGAGCTTTTTTTTTTTTTTTTTTTTCGTTTTTGAGCTTACTAATACTGTTTCAACAATTATTATATTATTGCATGGATTATAGGGACTTTGCTTATTAATTTACCTATAATAGTAACACATGCTATATGACGGTTAATTTCGCCGAAAAAAAAAAACGTTATAAGAGCTCGGTCGGTAATCGGCGCCCCCGAAACAGGAAGCCGCGTTTCGTGTCACGATCATTTACACACTTATTCATTTTACTTTTTTTCTATACCAGATCATTGCTTTCTTTATTTTTTAACTTTTTTTACTTCTTTAATTAATTAATACACGATTTACCAAAAAAAACCGGTCCTCCAGGTACTGATATATTATAAATACAAAAATATACAGGGAGGCTTTTATAAAGGTGCCCAAATTCACACAGGAGGTTTAGACTCAATTCAGACCATTCTATTCCCTAAAAAAAAGAACAGTTGACAATGCAGTCATTCATAAATACTTCATATTATACTTTTGAAACGAACTTGTGTGCGTGTTAGTTATGAATGATCGCGCGTAAAATAAATGAGTTGCCCATAAATTACGCACATTTCGAGATAAGTTCATATGAATGTAATTAATTACTTAAGAGTGATTTTAAATATTTATCATATTTATATATAACTTTATTTATGTCTAGAATTTAATAATAAATAAAATGGATACACTTAGAAAAGCCTCCCCGTATATAAGAAACAGATACCTAAGATTTGAGTTAAATTTTTCAATAGCATAACGTCAATTTTGTTGTTAACACAACGGGTACATGCTTTGGTGAAATTTTCTAAATGATGAAAACAAATTACCATCGCCAGCGATGACCTGATTGCACACGTAGCAGAGGTTACCGAAAAGTTGATGGTAATGTTGTTCGCAGTACGCGAGGCCCTTTTTCTCGTAGTGACGGTGCCCGTGGAACGGTTTCTCGCACTTGGCGCAAACGAAATGCTGCAATTACAAAATCCTCAAGTTACAAACGGGACAATCGCAAATGGGCAATCACAATATATGTGGTCCACTGCAGAGATAAATGTAAATATAAACATTTTAGGACACATTTTTTACACAACGTTCTCTAGTCTCAAACTAAGCAACGCTTGTACAATGGGTACTGCAACGCTTGTACAATGGGTACTGCAACGCTTGTACAATGGGTACTGCAACGCTTGTACAATGGGTACTGGAACGCTTGTACAATGGGTACTAGATAACTGATGATAATTCTTTTGTAAATAAATACATAGCCAATGGGCCCGCGCAATGTCTGTGGTGCATTGGCGATATAAATATAATCTTCATCCTCCAAACGGGAGCTATTGTAGCAGTTTAGTAACTGTGATGATTATTAACTGTGGTACAGTCAGGCAGCAACCCCGGCTGTTGCACAAATGGGCAGGCTTGTTCGGGTAAGTACTCTCGACCGGCGTGTAAATAACAGTAAATACTTTCGCGTTTCGTCTGGTGAGTGAGGGTAGCCAGGGCCCAATTTTCAAAGTTTGTTAACGCATCTGCAAACCCTCGGGTGAAACAGATGTCCATCGGCGTCGGTATTCACTTAACATCAGGTGAACCGCCTACTCACTTAAAAACTTTTCAGATAAAAAAAAGTAATGTGTATGATTTAATACTAGGAATAAACATATTAATTGTACCCACAAGTAATCTTCATAGAATAAGTGAATCCTTAATAGGACAATGTAAAAAAAAAACTATACTAACTATACTATAAAGGAACTTTTGTGTTAAAGGCTCTTATAATATTTGCTCTAGGCTCTTTGAAGTGTACATTAACATGTTGTAAACTAACTTCACTGTCAAATAATGGTTTAAAGAAAACTCAGGTCAGTGGCTTTTCTTTTTAGTAGTACAATTTTGATAATCTATAAGTAAGTGTAATGCTAATATATTGAATAAAGATTTTAACTATATTTATGTCTATTAAATAATTATTTCGATGTTCGACGATAAGTGGACAGATGAGACATATAGATCCTAAGATGCTTTACTTTCAATGTGTGGCGCGGAGTCTTAAAACTAGTCAGTAGTGTCCGACCGAATGTTCGGTTTCGGTCTAGTTTCGGCAAAAAAAACTAGTTTCGGTTTAGTTTCGGTTTCGGCGACAAACCTTCCGAAAGTACGAGCGAAACCGAAACTGCATTCGGGAGTTCTCGCGCTATGATCGGTTATGATCAGAAAGCAAGCGACGAAAACTAGCGATGGGTCGTTGAAGGTTTTTTCGTCAACGTTGATTCATGTTCGTCAATGTGATGCCGTCAATTTGGAAGTATGAACGGAATTTATTTGACGCTGCGACGTTCGAGCCTAAATCCTGTGACAGCTGACTAATTAATAAAAACACTTTATACAATCACAAACTAATAAATTTACAAAAAAGGACACCTTAAGCATGTTCAAAATAACCACGCGATATTTAAAATAACCACGAATAATATTTGAAAGAAGAATCTAACTACTCAAATAAATCTATTTTAAGTCGCCTATTTTTAGTCTTTTTATGGCGCAATTAATTTTTTTTTTTAAATGGGATTGTTACGTTTATTATCATACCGATAAGTGAAAATATCGAAGACTGGATAACTATAAATGATATAAAGATATTTATTTCATATTTATTTTATAAAAGTTTAGGTTTAATTCGGTTTCGGTCGTAAAAACCAGTTTCGATCGGACACTACTAGTCAGTGATAAGGATATTACATACATAATATGATATAAGGATATCATATAATAAGAAATATATGGATGATGAGAAATTAAAACTTTATGTTTTAAATAAGTGACGCCTGTGTAGGGTTATAATAAGTGGTTAAATGTACATTAGCTATTACCTCAACATGCCAATGCTTTCCGAGGGCGGTGACGATCCTCTCCTCTATTGGGCGACGGCACGCACCGCATATTGGTATGCCCATTTTGTCATGACAGCGCAAGCAGAAGAGGTTGTTCTGAAATGTTACTTATAATTTATTTATAAACATTGATTATTTCAGTCTAAAACACACATAGCATCGTACTGTTATTATAATATATTACAAATTTATGTCACAAATATTTTAAAAAAAGATCGTAATTTGGATATACCGATATTATTAAATATTTTAATATCTGAGTGTGATATATCGTAAAACAATATCGATATCCCGGATTTATATAAATATTTAAAATCCTAAGTCAGTTCACGATAACAAACGACCTAAACGGTTTATAGCATCGGTCCATATATTTGTCAAACAAAATAAACTTTATACGCGTAAAAATATTAATTATAGTGCTTGGTAGTAATTGTTTAATTTTAAACAAGACAATATGTTTACCTATGTTTTTGGCTAAGAATTTTTAAAAATACTCCTTGTTTTATTTATTCGGCTGTTTGACTAATTATTAAGTACTATAAGATTGATTGTAGGAGTAATTTCTTTAGTTAAGATGTACAGATGTAGAATAAGAAAAAAAATATTTAAAAAATATCGACCGTCGATATCTATATCTTTCAATAGAACTATCGATATATCGTCCAAAAGTATTAGTAATAAATATAGATGTTTATATGATAAGTTCATGTATTTACGCGATTACACATTACTAAGAATAAATATACAGATTTATCGCGTTTACTGTTTGTGGGCAGGGCACATAGCTCGAGGAACCGATGGCCGTTGGGGCAAAAAGGTTCTCAAGTGGAGAGTTCGTGACGGCAAGCGCAGTGTAGGAAGGCCTCCCACAAGGTGGACGGAGAACCTAGTCAAGATCGCAGGGACGAGTTGGATGCAGGCCGCCAACGACCGGTCGAAGTTGGAACTCAATGAGGGAGGCGTATGTTCAGCAGTGGACGTCCTACGGCTGATATGATGATGATGATGATGACTCTTGCCTGAATATAGTTGGCCCGACCCGCCGTCAGTTTTTAAATTATTAATTTTGTGACGTTTACCACGTTGTCGTTGCGGGCGACGTTTGAAAAAGAACGATAGACGCTTACGAGGTCGTTGAAGGCGACGTTTGAAAAAAGAACGAGTGACGCTTACCATGTCGTCGGAGCGTCTGGGGCGACGTTTGAAAAAAGAACGAGAGACGCTTACCACGTCGTCGCGGGCGACGTTTGAAAAAAGAACGGGTGACGCTTACCACGTCGTTGAAGGCGACGTTTGAAAAAAGAACGAGAGACGCTTACCATGTCGTCGGAGCGTCTGGGGCGACGTTTGAAAAAAGAACGAGAGACGCTTACCACGTCGTCGGGGGCGACGTTTGAAAAAAGAACGGGTGACGCTTACCACGTCGTTGAAGGCGACGTTTGAAAAAAGAACGAGAGACGCTTACTACGTCGTCGGGGCGACGTTTGAAAAAAGAACGGGTGACCTTTGACAAAAAAAGAGCGGTGACGCTTACCACGTCGTTGGCGGCGTACCCGGGGCGGTGCTTGACCTCGCGCGCCGTGTGATCGAGTTCTACGCCGCAGGTCGCGCACATGAAGTGGTACCCGTGGTACACCTCGCCGCGGTAGCGCAGCGGCTCGCCGTCGATCACGCCGCTGCAACAAGGAACGACTCGTTTTTGCGCACCGTACGCTCCGTTGGGAAGTTAGTTTTTAATTTTCATTGAGATCGGTTCGGTCCGATGCCTTTCGTTCCCGAAATATAAAACTGTCAATAATTTAACATACGTAATATCAGCGTATCAATCTACTTTGGGACGTGCGTTGTATTAACAGGATGCACCTATTGAGCGATTTGTTACTAGACAAAGCATTTATATTATTTATAGCTACAAGCATTTTTAAGGCATTAGTTTCAGCAGACTATTTCATGTCATAAAACTGGATTTTTCTATTTAGATAATCCATACGCCAATCAGCATAACGCAGCATGAGTGTGCTTTAAAATTGATATGTGTTGATATATGATTATAATTATGTTGACACTGTTGCGAGTTTTGCGAAGCATTCTGGGACGTTCCAAGAGTACGGGCCTCCGTGTTGGGACAACGCCTGGGCGTGTCACTTGTAAGCTCCGTGTGGGCGTACGCACTGGCACTTGTGGCAGATGTAGTTCTGCAGCCCGTCGGCCTTGATGCGCGCGTTGCAGGCGTGGCAGAGAGCGCGGCCCGCGTGCTTGATGAAGCCGGCGTCTGCCAGCTCCGCGCTGCACTCCTCGCAGCGGAAGCAGGCCGGGTGCCAATTGGCGTTCATCGCCTTTATCACCCGACCTATCACGAACTCGCCTAAGCCGAACACAATAAACAGTGTAGGTTTTATTCGTTGATGTCACTCAACGACAACGAAGTCAGTCAAGTAGCATTTTTAACTATTCTTGGCGCCAAGTAGGGTGCTGCTTCACAGTATGAGGCAGGCCGTATACCAATTGGCGTACATCGCCTTTACCACGAACTCACCTAAGCTGTACGCAATAAAACAATAAGTATAGCGTATGTTTTTTATTTATACCAAGGTATCGGTGCCGGCGATCGGGATTTTTTTTATTTGCGTGTACCAAATATTCGTTCGACCGCGTGAAATTTATGTATGACAATCATCCTTACATCAAAGGATAATGGATAATGTGAGGGGAATGATTTACGAAGAGTAGTAATGAGAAGAAGGAAGATTATATAATAGATCTTTCTAGGTCGAAGTGGTCGTTGGGATATAAGAGCAAATATTCACTACTTTAAATACAGACACACAAAAATAAAGCATGAACTTTGTCAATTTAAGATTTATTTTAAATCTACAGCGTGAAGTTAATTTATTCGTTAAAATATTTTTACAACAAAAAAAGTAAATTTATATGAAATAGTGGACACAACTAAGTGACTCCCTTCCCCACTTTTAACATTAAAGCAAAAAATTAACTCGGTTTTGATTACTCTAAAAAATTAATTTTAACAGCAAAAGCGACATCCCTAGTTTTAAAAATTTTCCTTATGAAAATGTTATATGAGGAAATGTATTTGATGTAAAGGATAAAAAAAACGATGAATTTTAATTGAAATATACATACCACATTTTCCACAACACGGCGCGAAAAGTACTTGAAAGTCTCGTTCACAATATTTACGTCCTTCAAACTCGTAGAACACGCCCTCAGGGAAAACGCGAAAACATTGAGCACATCTATAAAATTTAAGACATATTTATTTGTGCATATTTTTTTACTAATTTTTTAAAGAAACTTGAATATGCATATGTATTTTATTTTACCGTTTTAATTTCATGTGGAAATCAATATTATTTATATTGACCTTAATACAAATTCTTAGAACAGGGATAATGGTTTCATGTTTCATTATAATTATAATTTAAGGCAATTATTAAGATTTAAGATCATATGATATTAGTTTATATTAACTACTAACTGAATATTACAACCAATTAATTATTTATACAAATGAAACTATAAATGCTAATAATAACTATAAATATTTTTTTTACATTTATTTTTTTATTTCAACATTTATTTCACATAGGGACAGATTACATTATTAAATGACTGATTGCTGTTACTTTGGATTAATCTTTATCAAATATCATTGTTCGTATTAATATGCCTAATATTAAGTGTACTTATATTTAATAAATAAAGAACTCACACAAAACAGTTGGTATGCCAAAGTTCTCCATTAGAATTGACAATCTTTTCATTAGGCTCAAAGCCATCCCCACAGCGGGTACAAAACATATTGTCCAGAGACATTTTTGCAATGCTAAAAACAATAAAAAACTGTAATATTACCAAAACATACATATCTGGATAATTTGTTATAGATTATAATTACATTACAGTTTCATAATTAACATTTCAATTAACAGCTTCTTTGGTGCCAGCAGATTTCAAGATAGATTATTCAAGTATAGCAAATTAAAAGTGTAACTGAATACTATGTGATATATTTAATAGAACATGAAATTATTTTTTAGTATGGTAAAAAATATTATTAAGGATATTTACAAATTGTGAATTATTGGGGCTTTATGAAAAAGTGTTATAAAATCTTATTTAAACAATAACCTACAAACAAAACAACATCTTTGCTTTAGTATATGTTAGCACAATTTTCGTTATAATTTTAATTTTAATAGGCCATTGAGGTAAATACTTATAGTTTTCAAGAAATAATTTTTTTAAGTTTAATAGGTTAACTTCTATGAATCATATAGAACAGTATTGTTTCGTCTTTTGCCTCAAGATATTTACATAATTACATTCTAAAACATTAGAAAGAGACAATGGCAAAAAATTTATATCTCCTTTAAACACGTGTTATTCCAAAACAAAAAAATATTTTTTGCTGTTTCGTTTTTTTTTTATGAACAAAACATTGCCCTTTACTTTAGGATAAAATTTTCCTGTATTGTAAGGAGATTTTACAACATAAAAGCATAGGGTAAGCCTCATGCTACTGTATACTAAAGCAATACCTAAACAACTACTAGTCATAATGCAGACACTTAAGGAAAAATATGCATTTAGTTTTCCTTGAACAGTTATCTTCAAGTTTTTTGTTTGATGCCTTCAAACAAAAAATTTATCAAAATTTAGAAAAAATGAATTAAAGCTAGAGAAAAAAAATAAATCTTATAAATTAAAAGACTATTTTATTTTGAGCCAGTAAAAATATTAAAACCCATCTGACAAATTAGGTCACTAAAACTATCCTGAACATTGCAAGTAATAGCAGTTTTATTAAGTATGTATGACCTCTTCAAAGAGTTAATAAGAAAATAAGTAATAGGATACATGTTTTTTGATGAATAACCATTTATGGCTATAAAAATTAGCAAGTGTTATGATCCTAAGCAAATATTTTTGGTTCAGTAATGTTATTAGTGCAGTGACAAATTGATTTATGATTTTTTTTATGTGTTATAAGTGATCTTATAAACATAAGTTTGTGGGTTTTGGGAATCCATTATAGATGACCACTCCCAATGATTGAGAGTTGCTTACCCTGGCATTTCCGGCTCAAATACCAAAAATTATACGCAAAACAGGTGTCTGTAACTTCTTTGATGAAGCTTTTTATAAATCTCGTATCCTGATAAAATAAATCATTAAATAATATTCAAAAATACCTTTAAGGCTTGAGTGATGTAATGTATTAAAATAGAATATACCAATATACTCACATATGCGTTCAAAAAAAGTACGCTAGTTTTGTCACTATTCACATTAACAACATTTAACAATTATACATCACTGCATAAGTGCATAATAGCATTAGTTTCAAGTAGATTAATAATTGAAACAAATATTTGATAAGTACTTAGATTGAAGTGGAATGTTTGTTTTCCAGCACCCCCCTAGTAAGTTACTTACTCAGTCAGTACTAGAAGTGGGCGATACAAATCGTATCAGATATGAAAACTAGATATTAGTACAATACCCCAATATCGCTTACTGGCTCGTTCAATATCTATGTATTTTACAATATCTGATATTTCCGAAATCTGATGTACCGTGCTCGCTCGCTATACCGACACGAATCGCGATACGGCGATATCATACGCGTTTGCCACAATATCTGATTTTTAAACAGATTTCGAGAGACAAAAGCGCGTGAGATACAAATACTCACTAGTTAGAGCGGGACGGCAAGCAATGCACGATATCAGATATCGAGCGACAAAGCGCGTGAGATATAAATACTTACTAGTTAGAGTGGGACGGCAGCAATGCACGATATCAGATATCGAGCGACAAAGCGCGTGAGATATAAACACTTACTAGTTAGAGTGTGACGGCAAGCAATGCACGATATCAGATATCGAGCGACAAAGCGCGTGAGATATAAATACTTACTAGTTAGAGTGGGACGGCAAGCAATGCACGATATCAGATATCGAGCGACAAAGCGCGTGAGATATAAATACTTACTAGTTAGAGTGGGACGGCAAGCAATGCACGATATCAGATATCGAGCGACAAAGCGCGTGAGATATAAATACTTACTAGTTAGAGTGGGACGGCAAGCAATGCACGATATCAGATATCGAGCGACAAAGCGCGTGAGATATAAACACTTACTAGTTAGAGTGGGACGGCAAGCAATGCACGATATCAGATATCGAGCGACAAAGCGCGTGAGATATAAATACTTACTAGTTAGAGTGTGACGGCAAGCAATGCACGATATCAGATTTTTAAACAGATATTATGAATAAGTTAAGTAATTTTGAATCTTAACACGATGCAAATAAGATCCGTTTCATTTAAATACTAATCTTGGTATCAGCGATTACTACAACGATATTATTATATTTTTATTGTTTTGTTTAGCCTTGAGCCGTAACGGGCGACAAAGCGCGCAGTTAAGTAATTTTGAATCTTAACAGCATGGAAAAAAAACTCTGTTGCATTTAAATACGAATTACGGTATTAACGATGTCTTTGAAATTTTGTTCAGCCTTGAGCTGGATTGCATTGGTACTTAACACGTAATAGTAAGGGATGCCAACTTACTACTTAAGAATTTTCTGCCTAAATTAAGGAAGAAAAATATACAATGGAAATTTTTTAGGAGGTAAATTTGTTGTGAATATTTTTATTACCTAAATTTTATTCATATTTTTGGAAAAAAATAAAAGTACACAAAAAGAAAAATATAATTTAATAGTGCTGTGCTGCTTTGGTGAAAATCAGACCAAGGCTTATGTGCCTTGTGTGTATATTTTAAATTCTTCCGCCCTAAGCTATAATACAGAATGTATTATTTCTTACACAAATAATAAAAATATTGCCACTCGATTGCGTGTTCTAAAAATATGTTAAAGTCAATTATTAAGCGGTATATAAGATGTTAAAATAAATCATTTTTATATTACTTCAATTTATTTTTAATGAAATTTTTAATTTAATAATTTAAAAAAACCCATTTTTAGTAAGACAGGGTTAATTATTAATGATCGTCGAACAAGACTTTCGACGAATAAAGTCAGAGAGCTTACGTTCCTAAACGTGAATTTGAACCCGGAGGGATATAAATAATTATTAACCCTGACATAATTGTAAATATAGTTATAAATATAAGGAAAATTATGTACATAGAATGAATCAACTTTTTTTTTTTTTTTTAGAATTCAATTAATCAACGTGGATAGGGAACCGTAAAATATCTAGATATTAAAATACATAGTTTCGAAATCTGATATTTGAAATCGATATCGGATTCAGATACGGTACTCAGAAAAAGCGATACGACCCATCCCTAGTCAGTACCTACTCTATGGTTTTCACGGTCTTTTCAGTCCAATGTCCATCCATACATTTGATATTTTTGGAGTTTGCTCATTCCGTTTAGTTCCATCCATCAAAAACAGATGGCGGTGTTTTAAAGGCAAAACCATTTTAACTATGGTACCATTAAATTAAAAACAAAATTTTATTTTAAGTTAAAATAAATTTATATAAAAAAATATGTATGGTTCTTATTTTGAAGAAAATTGTATTTCATCAAACAAAAATTATTAATTTGTAAGAAAACAACTAAGCAAAATGTTGGAAGAAATTTTAAAGTGTAACGGAACGTTACCGACGTAACTGCGGCCGGTGATTAATAAATCATTTATTTTATTCGGTTATCTTTCATTATTCATCATTTTATTGAGTTATACGTTACGGCAAAACATTAATATTGTATTTGCAGGTAAAGACTGCAATGCAAATTTGCATTCTTTTCCTCACCTGACAATGATAGTGACAGATTTAAAACATGGATTCAATCGATTGGAGGAAATTTACTGATTTTGGATAGCCAAAAACAAATTTAACGGAAATAATTTACTAAACGGCACCAGATTCGAAGTCAATATAACAAAGAATATAAAAAATATAGCGAGTGAATACTATAAAAAATGAAATAAAGTTCGCAAAACATATTTCTGTATTTTATTTACTTTATCCAAAAATAACATCTAGCAAGCTTGTATCCAATTTAGTTTTCTATACAATGTTATCAAATATAAATAAAATAAATTTCATATACACTGTATAGAAAACTGTAGTTGAATACAGCTCTCAACTATAAAAACAAAATGGTTAATTATGTACATCTGAACTTGGAGTTCGGTCACGCACCAAGAGATGGCGCTGTTTCACGAGGACACTGATAACTGATATTAATAATGTATAAAGGAATAAGGAAAAACCATCAGAGTGATGGTTTTTCCACTTCCCATCTCCAGTTTTACAGCTTGACTTGAGACTTCATTCGGTCTGCAGCTAGTGGCCTAGTGATGTGCAAGTCGAGTTATTTGATTCGAGTAACTCAAACCAAACCTGAACGAGTCAACTCGGGTTCCGTTTTAAGCAACTCGAATCAACTCGGTTGACCGAACGCAAACCGGATGTTGTACCCGCGAGACTCAAGAGTTGAATAGTTACACACGCGGCTCGCACGCGCCGTTCATTATGTGTTGCATTGTATCTCACTCGCATCGAGTTGAGTGAGATGCAATACCTAAACTAACGAACGAAATAGATACAGATAGAACTCGAGTTGAGTCGACAACCTCTGATCACTCTGATTTGACACTTTATCATCATCATTTCAGCCTGTTTGAGTCCACTGCTGAACATATCCCTCCCCCACAGACTGCCACGAAGCATATTCGCACAGGTTACAACAAGATTCGTTATACATATAACAATATACAGACAGCTATTATACAGACAACTATTCGTTAGTGTCATTACAATTGTCCGTATTTATGCAAAATGGAACCACACGACAATTTTGTGTTTTTCTTTTTTTTAAGAATATTGAATTTAAAAGTGGTCTAAATTCTTATTCAAAAAAGAACCCCATGATTTTTCCCTTGGAAATAGGGTATACAAAAAGCAGAAAGGAACCAACTGCAATAAAGAACATTACATATAAAGCAAAACCGAACCACAGTACAATGGGACTCGATTGTTCAAATAAATAAACTATATTACTACCATGTCATTTTATACTAAACAGATCCACACAAACTTGGTTCCATTATAAATTTCGCAGATTTCAATTATTAACAATCATTTTTAATATACCAAATGGAACCAAGATTCTGTGGTATCGTTATGCATAAAATAAATTCATAATTTATTTTGTAATATTTTTTGCAAAATGGAACCACAAGCATTCGGTTCCAACATGTATAAATACATTGTGTCAACTAGTAGAACCACTAGTATGTGATTCCATTATCAATATAACGTTTTGAAACACATCATCGCCCAAAGGTACCAAATATCATAACTTGTTAGATGCCTCTTGCCTTTAAACAACGTAATATAGGTACTCGTATACTTACTACTTTCGAAATATATAAATTCTCTCGTAAATATCTATTGGAAAAAGTCGAAGTGCACCTGAATTTATATATCAAAACACTTGGCGTTTCTACAAAGATCAATAATACTGATTTAATTAAAGTGATATCATAGAATTATAAATATTATATAGAATAGGATGGGAAAGTGGAGGTAAGAACAAATGCAGCGACAAAATAGTTTTATACGTGAGGTGCAATTAAACCATCTTTCTAAGTATAAATCACACTATAGAAGAAGTAAGCCCGTGACCGAATATCTTATGCCAGACTTGACTTTGGACACCATGTTCGATTTAAACTGTGTACATACAGGAGAAGCTAAGAAGGTCAATAAGGCAATGTATTGTTTTTATGTAAGAAGATGGCATGGGCATTTGCAACACCCGTAGGGTCGCAGATGCGTTGTCACTTTTTAATAAAGTGGGCCCTGGGTACAATACTCTCAAGACGAAAGGCAGAAGTATAACTCTTCCACTTCACGCCGGTCTGTGAAGTCGTGGTATTTCCCCGGACGGACCCTCCTATTCGTGCAACAGCGAAGACTGATGCGTGGCCCATCTTAGACAAGTGCCTTTAAAACAGATTTTTGTAACAAGTGTGATACTTTAAAATCGGAAATTAACTCCTTGCAAACCTGCTGAGAAGAAAACAGTCATAGATACAGAACGCGAAGAACATTGCCGATAATGCAAAGAGGCTCAAAGTCGAAACCTGACTTTATTCTTGCTACTAAATGTAAGAAACTAGTCTCAAGTTTGATCTTCAAAACATTACTTACCATAAATGACGGCTGGGTTGCTTTTTTGGATAGAAAGAATGATTGCCAAAGGTGCTTAGGAAGTAGGTTCTAGTCTTTCAAAGTATATATGCGAGCATATTTCTGTAGATTTCGAGGATCTAATTTTATGGAGTGATTCATGTAGACGATTCAATTTCATGTTAAAAGCATTTTTGCATCCTCATTTCACCTTCAAAAAATAACACAATTTTTATACTCGGACATGCTACCTAACCAATGACAGAGATTTCCCTCATTGAAACGGCAATAAAGAAATATTCGAGACTATACACTCCCGATGATTATGGCCAGGTAATGAAAGATTGCATGAAAAATCACCTGCACTGTTACAGTTATGCCAAAAACTCACATGGGAACTTATAAGGTTGAAAAAAGTATTAGTAACAGACGTGGTATTAATAAATAATGTATTAATCGGATATAAACTCAAAAAACATACCTGAAAATAGAATCACCGAACTCGATTTATTTTAAAATATTTCCTAGGGAGTTGTGTGACCGGCTGTAATCTTGACGAAACATTTACCTACCCTGTGGCCGTCAAGGAAGCCAGTATCATCAGCGAAATTAGCCGATGTTCAGTTTATATTACACCTCATGCCACTAAATGCAGAGTTTTTTATAATGGTCTCAATTATAACGATGTGAATACAATAGAAGTCGCTATAGGTGGACTGAATATGGTCGATTTCGAAGTTCAATTTGATTATAACGTCGAATAAACGCTCTCTATACGTATAATTTTACTGAATTAAAGCTTTATTACGATAATATGAATACATAGTTTCATTTATATCAGTAAATCGCTGGGTTGTGGTTCTTTTTTGTATATGAGAAAACCTATAAATCAGTAAATGTTAAAAGAAACCACATGCACATTTTCTTAATTATTTAGAATATTTCAGGCTGTGCAGAGCAAATTTATATGTACTTACTTAAATACATAATTTGTCAATAAATTAAAATAAAATAAATAGTAATTTTGTTTCATCTAACAGAGCTGCACATATTTTTGTAAATCCTGTAATATCTCAGAAGTGCGTTTTTGCTGGGTGGTTCCTTTCTGCATAAATACGGACAATTAAGGGCGCTGACAGCATGCAATATTATGGACGAAAAAAATACAGTAAAAAAAAAACTTGTTGTTTGTTACAAAATCCAAAGGCACAAAAAGGTTAATAAATAAAATGAAATGAAAGTAACAGTAAAAAAAATAGACTAATAAGATTTTCAAGTTTTTACAAGTAAGCGGGGAGAACAGATTTCTCTGTTTGACAATAAAACAGTTAAAAATAAATAAAAACAATATGTGATAATAAAAGTAATTAGGTATTTTTGGAAAACAGTTTCAGCAATTCTTTCTTTAGCTTGGCGGGAATATTTGAAAACAAAGACGTCCTGGAAGTTCTCGAGATGTTATTGTAATTCCTATCATTCTGTTTAAACGCTTGCTGTCCAAGGTTGGATTTACATAAACAGTTCGAGAAAATATTGTATCAAGTCGAGGCAGCGTCGAAGGACTGGTAAAGTTTAAGAAGGACAGCAGGTTAGAAGCATTAATGATACCATTGGTAAGCTTATGCAGGAAGAGAATTTCAAGTTTTAAGCATTCCTTATATCACTCAGAGAAATCGTTCCAAAATGTTTTAGTCTATCGGAGAAGAATTATCTTTAATATATGTTTAAATAATCAATTGAAAAATGTCAATATATCGATATCTTTCGCTCGATAACTATCGATACTTTTTTAAAATGTCGATACGATATATTTTTTTACTCTCCCATCCCCACTGCGTGCTATTGCCACTATCTTTCAATATATGTCTTATCTATGGCCACTAGCCACTAGTGCCATTCTGTCAAGTTACAGCTGTCAATGCAATTGCCACTTCTTGATTAGAGAGCAATAAAACGGCAAAACTATTCAAATTAATTTTAACATGGGAGAAAACAGATTTGAAAATATGAATACTTTACAAGAAATGATATTAGATGAAGAGAGGTTGGTAACCTATGTTTCTCTTAGTAAAGAACTTTGTGTTCACATTAATGAAAGCAAGATATTGTTGCATCAAGCCGTGGATAACATTCGTCATAAAAAACCTAATATTGACCTTAACATTCATTACATCGTATCAGGCATATTGGATAATGGCATTGCGAAGACAGTGGTGTGTATTGAACCCGAACTTGATGCTCTTAAAGAAAGTTTTAAAGTTATATTTTTCGAACATGTATATAGCGTTAGCAAGGGTTGCCCACATTTCAATAGGGCTTCACTATTAGGAACTACTAAAACAGAAGATTTAATTTTATGTACTGGTATAATAAAAAGCAATAACTGTGTAAAAAGGACAGCTGATGAAATTGTGACACTAAAATCTAATAGCCAGGATTTAATTTTACTATCTGAGGAAACGACTATGGACCAATCTTTAAAAAAACTGAAAAAAGAAGGTGGGGTAAAACTATCAATTGAAAGAGAAAAGAAAAGAGAAGACTTAAATACTGATGATAATTCCAATAAAATTAAATTGGTTAACAATGTCAAAATTGAAAAGAATTCACCCAAAAAGGGTTTAAATAACAAACAAAAAGATCTAACTGTTTTAAAGCAAAAAGGAATTTCAGGATTTTTTAATAAAACAAATGGACCTAGCTCTAAGAAGGAGAATATAAATGAAGATAGAAAACTACAAACAAATAAAGATGAGACTAAGATACAAGATATGGTTCCAGATGTTACCCTAAAAAGTAAAGAACTTACTGATATTAAAAATGAAGATGGTGTCAAAGCTCAAAAGACTGTACAAAATGAAATTATTGTAAAAGAAAAAAATAAATCTGAAACAATTACAAAGAAGAATTTGAAGGTAGATAAAAAAAGAAAGAGAGTTTTAAGTGTACCGCAAAGTGATAGCGAGACTGAAGAAAATGACCCTTTCATCAGTGAAGAACAGGTGGATATTCAAAACGAGTCTGAAGATGAAATACCACCTACTCCTACTATAAATACTATTAAAATTACATCTGGCATTCAAAACCCAAAGAAGAAGAGAAAGATTGTTGAAAAAACATATACAAGTGATGATGGTTATATTTTGACTAAAAAGGAGGAAGTATATGAGAGCTGTTCGGATAATGATGAAGAAGTCGTAAGTAAAGAAAATGTTGAAAGTGTAAATACGGCAAAAGTTGAAACTTCACCAAAAGTAAATATAAGTGGTACAAAAAAATCCAAGAAAAAGTCATCTCCTCCACAAAAAGGAAAACAAGCAACAATGTTTAATTTCTTCAAAAGAGACAAAAATTAATTAATGTTGCATGTGGAATCATGTAAATCATGACTTGGTCAATTCATAATGCAATAATCATGTTTCAGTTGCAGTAATCTTATACATTTTTAAAAACATCTTTCAAGAAAACAACAGTTATGTGGTATATAAATTTAATTTATATGCTTATCTATTACTTCCAATAGCAACTAACCAATTTGGATGCACTTGAACATCTACTATATAAGAACACTTGGTATTGTAGACAGAAGTCTGCATCTCTGGACTAGATAACTGCCTGGAAGAAAGAAAAAAAGTTTTAAAGAATTTACTTAGTTTTGAAAATTTATGTATTAAGTTGGAAAAATGAATGGCATGAATGGTCTTGGTCAAAATTATTAAACTTTTGAGTTGTTCAACTAAAATAAACTTTTTAATGTTTTCATTAAGCTTAAACCAGATTTCTGAAACACTGATCATCATAGAAATTAAATAATCATTAGTGAAATGGCTTGTCAAATGTCACATTTGAAATGCGAAAACCGCGACAATAGATGAACACACATACAGAGAGATTTTTTGAGTAGTGCCCAAATTTACACAGGAGGTTCAGACGCGGTAGTATAATCGTTTATTGAAATAAAAAAAACAAAGTCTTTTTTTCCTAAAAAATGCCATTCTATTCCCTAAAAAACAGAACGTGTTTACAATGCGGTAGCCATTCACAAATACCTAAATTTTACTGTGCACGAACTTGTGTACGTGTTAGTTATGAATGATCGAGCGTAAAATAAATGGTTTGCCCATAAATCACGCACTTTTTGAGATAAGTTAAAATGAATGTAATTAATTAATTATGAGTGATTTGAAATATTTATCATATTTTATATAGCGTGTCGGTACCAACGCGACAATAAATGAACACATGTCTAACGCTACTTGCCAATAATCATAAAAAAATATTAACGTTAAACAAAATCCGTAATTAAAAAAATATTTTTCAAACAAACTAATTAAGTAAAAAAAGAAACAAAATTTGTAACATCCTATACAACTCGCGCCACAGCGTCGTATTACAAGCCTCTCCTTCTAACAGTATGTTTTGTCTCTTAAATTTATTCAACCCATTCATATGCGTGGGGAAAAAACTGTTCATTTACGTTACAGTTTTATAGGTAAGGGTGTTCTAAAATTCTTTGTTTTGGAAAATTTAATAACTCTGTAAGTATTGATGTATAAAGAATTTAAATGTTTAATACAACTTTAAAAAGTTATCCCCAATATGTGTGTTCATTTATTGTCGCGATGGTAACGACAGAAAAGCCTCCCTGTATATATATATATATATAATCGGAATCTCGGACACGGCTCCAGCGATTTGCATGAAATTTAGTATGTGCGTAGATTCGGGGGCGAAAAATCGATCTAGCTAGGTTTCATTTTTAGAAAATGTCCTTTTATCCCTGTTTTCAGGGAATGAAAAATATCATTCGAATATGACGGTAAATTTCGCCGAAAAAAAATGTTATAATAGCTCTCGGGCGGCTCCGAAACAGAAAGGTGCGGTTCGTGTCACGATCGTTCACAAACTTATTTTTTTACTTTTTTTCTATACCAGATCATTGCTTTTTTATTTCAAAAATACAAGAATACAACCGGTCCTCCAGGTACTATCTATAAAGTTACCTAATACCCTAAAATCAGATCAGGTTCTTTTTTCGTAAAATTTAAGTTCATATTTTTGTAAGATGAAAATTTTTAGACAAACTTTGTAATACTGATTTAAAAGTCAAAAGACACTCACTTATTTCTTGAATGGTTATCCCACGCCATCTTCACTATACCATCCATTCCGGCTGAGCATAATAATGAATTGTCTACTGACACATCATTTGGATCTAAGAGAATCCTATTTGAGAGGCTTGCTTTCCCAACAGCAGACCAATCTAACGCTGTAACTTTACCATGATGACCTCGGTGTTCATGTATGCATGTGCAGGCAGCGAGATCCCAAACTTTAATTTTTTTATCATCGCCTTAAACAACAAAGTAAAAAGTAAATATTTGTACATAAGTAACAACAATTAAATAACACACATTCACCAAGTGCGATCCTTTTCTTTATTCTTCCTGTTCTTTTTGTAGTGGACCGTGCGCTTCTCCGGTGTACATAATTTGATAAACTGCAGAACTCGCGCTGTTTCGTATCGGAGTCTATCCCAATTTAAAAAGCGTGTGACGTCGGGTAAGCTTTCTAGTAGATTAACATTTGAAAATATGTTATTGTGGTTTTTGTTGTGTGACGAGTCCGGTCACAACTTTGGCGGGTCGTAAAGTAAACAGCCTTTAAATGTCCCACTGCTGGGCAAAGACTTCCTCTGTACAACTGCTATTAGGGAATAATCCACCACGCGAGCCCACAACGGATTGGAACACTTCTCATATTTTTTTATGTTTTTAAAAAATATGATTCTCTCACGATGTTTTACTTCACCGCTGAGCAAGGGAAAAGTTAGCATTTAAAATTAACTATTTTTTATTAACTAATTTAAAATTAACTATATTATTTCATTGGGGCCGGCAGCGGGATTTGAACTCTGACCACTCGAGTATATTGAATTAAAAGCGAGCGCCCGGACACCGACTTGTCTCACTCCGGGTAATCCTCTCATTTAGTTGACGCAAGGATATCCACATGCGACTAAATTGGATTTGATCAAACTTTTGGAAACTTGGCCCTCACAAGTCACACGAGCTCAGTTAATGCTTAATTGTTTGGGGCGAGTGTTGGGTTCAAAAATTGTTTACCAGCGCTCGCCAAGTAGGCGCCGGAGGGGGAGAAGGCGAGGGCGCGAACTGCGCCCCTGTGCCCGCAGAGCACGCGCACCAACCTCGCGTCGCACACGGTCCAGAGGCGCACACTGCGGTCCGCGCCGCCGGTCGCCATGTAAGCCTCGTTCGGATGGAACTTGACGCACTGTGGGTAGACGTCTGATTAGGCGTCACCTACATCACGCACTCGACCCGTTCGAGGTCGCTTTTTTGGGTTCCGTACCCAAGGGTTTCACCTTTGGTTGGCACCCTATTACTAGTACTTCGCTGTCTGTCTGTCTGTCCATCAGTCATCGGGCTGTATCTCATGAACTGTGATAGTTAGACACTCGAAATTTTCGTAGATGATGTATTTCTGTTATGTATATATGATGATATGAACATATTTAAGTGTGGCTCCTATACAACAGACATGACTTTTTTTGCCGTTTTTATAGATAATGGTAACGGAATCCTTCGTGCGCGATTCCGACTCGCACTTGGCCGGTTTTTTTTTAAAGGTGAGAAGTTGTCAAGCGAGCAGGCGATTCGCTTGATGTTAGGTGACTACTGACGCCCATGGACATCTGCAACACCCGAGGGCTTGTAGATATTTTGATTTGAAGAGTGGGACCCGGACACCTCACCCACGTGACGTAACGCGCGAAAGGATTAACATTGAGTTCATGCCGGACTTCTGAAAGGCCGCAGTACTTCCCCGGGTTGAGGCCCTTTCGTGCAACAGTAGAAGCTGCTGCGTGGCCCTGCCATAGTGAGTGTAAAGAATTCTGGTTCCACCCGACAGCACACACTCGCTACTACAAAACTGTACTTACTACCTACGAGAATGGCGAAACCAACACATCGTAAACTGCTGTTTAAATGTGGACATACTAACCTAAAGTAATAATGGAAACCCTAATTCATTTGATATAACTTTCTGTTTTTTAATGAGTAATTTTTGCATTGTTTTCTTTGCAATAAATAACACTTACCGTCACATCTGACATGTGTCCTACGAATACTCTTACAGGAAATGTCCTGTCAAGGGACCATAATTTTGCTGTTTTGTCGTGTGATCCAGTTACAATAAAGAGCCCATTTTTCGAAACATCCATACACCAGATTGGATAATTATGACCCCTAAAACATTACACCTCACAATAGTCAGTATAAATTAAAGCTGCAATGTCTCAAACAAATCCTACAATTTTAAATGTAATACATAGAGACAAACTTTTATGAAAACGACAACTTAATTTATGAAAAAAAAAAAAAGATTACATTCTTAAAACTGAAGTAACTAAAATATATACCTGTATACTGAGGCACATGAATAATCAGATAATCTCCAAGCTCTCATAGTATTATCATGTGCGGCTGACAGAATAAGTTGTTCCCTGGACAAAATGCTAACAGCCTGTACTGGACCAGAGTGACCACGTAAAGGCAACCCTGTACCTATCTGACTGAAGGTAAAAATAATGTGGTTTACTTTCATTTCCAAAGTATTATTGTAACTGAAGTAAATAAACATCTTAGATTACATTAAAAAGACTATTATAATAATTAATAATACTAAGATTATGATAATAAAAACACATGATAGGGCTCACTCTATGATGGTTTTTGATTAGGACTTCAGAAATTAAAATTAATAATCACAAATTATTACAAGTAAGTATCTGCAGGGGTTTCAGGTTCTGGTGGCATGTAACATGCCAATTCTATTTCAGATATGTTACGGTTGACTCTTTGTTTCACATTATTTTGTCCAAGATCCCATAGTCTTATTTCGGAGTTGCTAAATCCTCCACACAGCATATTACATGCAAAGTCTGTTTTTGCACACACCAAGCTGCAACAAGATAGTTTGACACATTTATTATTTAATGTTCTCTATTGAAATTCAAAAAGAATAAATGTGTAATATAGGTGAGGTCATCTCTTAAAATCTCTATATTAATTACTTAATGTGCTTACTGAGTGTCAGGAGCAGCTATTTTATATAGCTTTAGTGGTGCCATTGATTCCCTAACACCTTTAATTGCTTCTTGAAGTTCTCTCAATTCTTTGTCAACATTTTGGTATTCTGCATGCCCATTGCATTTTGAAAATATGTCTGGCAAAAATAAGAAATTTAAAAGTGTATTTTAAATCCCAATTAACATTATTTTCAATAGTACATACCATTCTTATCAAATAGTTTATCATCATTGTTTGTTGTATGTGTATGGACATCTTCATTTTGATCTTCATCATCCTATACAAAACAATATTTTTTTTAATAAGATGGAAATATATAAATTTTTATTTATGTAGGTCTTTGATTACTCACACTATTTCTTTTATTTGAATCACTGTTAATATCAATGTGAAACCAAGTTTGTAGAACTTGTATTAATAAGACATGACCATGTTTTGCTAAATAAGCTTTTAACATATTTAAGGCATCTTGTGATAAAAAAATGTCATATTTACAGGATCTGTAAAAATAATTATAACAGTAAAAAGCTGCACTTACAATTGTAAATTAGCATTAAGTTATTATAAAATTTGAAATTTTGTCAAATGGAGTCTTACTTATTTGAAATTAAGACTAACCATAGCAGAAGATATTTAAAGCTAATTATGTGCTTAGAGACTTCTCTGAGTTTGGTAATAAAAATATTATAAGGCCTCACATTTAAAGAGTTATTACATATTAAAATATGTAGAAAAAGTGTGAAAAGATTGTCGCCGCTGTGGGAATCGAACCCACGTCTTCGGCATTCGTCGGTGTGGTAATCAGCCGTTTAGCTCAGTGGCTAGAGCGTCAGGCCGCGAATGCCGAAGACGTGGGTTCGATTCCCACAGCGGCGACAATCTTTTCACACTTTTTCTACATATTTTAATGTTCAATCTTAAGTGCAAAGATTAGCACTATAAACAATTTAAATGTCTAAAAAAGCAATGGCGACATCTCTCGTTCGAATTATCGTTGTAAAACGATATTCGAAGTTGTTTGTATGCTGGAAAGGATATAACAATAGATGGCGCCAAGCATTGCTTCAAATGCTAAGAAAACAATGTGGAAGAATGCGTTAAGATTTTCGTCGGTGTGGTAATCAGCCGTTTAGCTCAGTGGCTAGAGCGTCAGGCCGCGAATGCCGAAGACGTGGGTTCGATTCCCACAGCGGCGACAATCTTTTCACACTTTTTCTACATATTTTAATGTTCAATCTTAAGTGCAAAGATTAGCACTATAAACAATTTAAAAGTTATTACATATATTAAAATTTGAGAATTTACCTAAAAGCTGCTATTGAAGGTCTTGATTCTATTTCCTGAAGTGTATAGACTGTACCAATGTCATCTAGCAGTTGATTCATATAATCTTTTTCTGGTGTTTCATTGTCAATTGTACCATTTTGTAGAGAATTAAACAGTTGTTCTAAGCTATTTGGTCTGTATAATGCAGACGGCAAGTTGCCATCAATTGGTTGATGGTAAGACAAATCTTTCTGAGGTAATGTAGCCGAGTGTCTTTTAAGGAACATTTGAGCAGCACCTCCATGGCCACCTCGAAGCATTTCCAAATAAAGATGACAAAGTAATGGTGTTAACAAGGCCAAAAGCTCATTCTTAACTTTTTCAAGTTTTATCTCTTTTATAAAATTGAACAGTCTATAAATAAGCATTAGAATTTTTACAATTGTTGATAAACACCAAATATTTGTGTTTTATTAATAATATAACGTTTTTACCTTGTATATTGTACATCATATTGGCCAGGATCATTGTTGATGCATGAAAAGAGAATAGAGTTTGCACGACTTGCCTCACACTGAACAATAGTAGCTACAGCCATTTCTTCAGCACTACGACTAGTGGAATTGGTGTTACTAAATATTTCAATATCCTGGAATAATTTCAGTTAGTTTAATGTAATACTAGTTAAAGCAAAATAAATAATTTAAAATCATAATTTTTATTTTACATTAATAACAAAATTTTGGTATAGCTAACCGGATAATTCCGTCGCTCTAAGTAGGAAGTAACAGCCGCTTTAACCGCATCATTTCTAGATCTCTTCATTGATATTCTAAAAAAGGTATTAAAATTTCTTTACACACTGGTAATTAATACAGCTATATTACTTATACTTTATTTCGAAATGTCTCTTTGAGCACTGCCAAAGTGCCAATGCCAATTTGGTACACTATGTGAATTTTGGAATTTGTTTGTGGATACTAGATTGGATTGTAGTTGTAGAGTTGTTGGTGTTTTACAAAGTGTTGATATCAAGTATACAAAGTTACTATAGGTATCTGAAATCTGGTGTTTTATATTTTGTAACGATTATTATTGGTTTTGGTTTGTTTATGCTCTGCTGTCATCAAATGGAGTAGGAATGGCAAAATATATCGATATATAAAAATATGGATATTTTTTAATATATATATCGTCGATATTTTTGTTCACGATATATCGATATTCGATATTTATTTTCGACTATCGAATTCGTATCAATTTCGATATATTTTTTTAACGCAACTTTGATTTGGTGCACGTTCACGATATTTTTTTTATTAAATATTATATAGCCTGGTTACAAGACCTTTAAGCCAATACAATGAAAATATTAATTACTAATATTACCCTGAAGTTAACAATTTTCGGATATTTCTTTCCACAAATCAAAAAAGTTACAATCAAAAAAGAAAAAAATTCTACATGTAGTAATTAAAAAACTCTACACGCGTACAATCTTTTTATATTTTCTTTTATGATTTATCGTTGGAAAAAGTTTCAAATATTATTAGACATCGGCTAACTTCAATATCATGAGAAGTTGATGAACTAATTAAATTCTTCAACAATTTAACGTGATACTTATGTCAGTTTGCATGATTTTATTTAACGCTGCGACGTTCAATTAGTCCATCGTCTGCGGTCTGACTGATTAATATTTTACAATTTTATGCAATTACAAATTAATAAATTTAAAAAAAATAAAACACCTTAAAAAGAAATTCAAAAGTAGCTCTTAAGGATCTAATTTGCCGGGCTTCTTCGGTGTCTTCAGAAAGAGTTGCTTCAGCTGTGAATCTGACAGTACCCAACAATAGAATTCCTTTGACAGCAAAGCACATTAAACAGAGGGCGCTCCTAATTTCCGTATCAGATGATTATTGGTTCTATTAAATTGTATTTTATTGAGTCGATTATTAATAAATATTACTTTTTTCGTCATGGGTATTCTTTTTCACGAATTTTGAATGGTTTGGAAATATAAATAACCTACAAAAACCTTAAAAAATATATCGATGCTTATCTCTCGATAATTATCGACAGTTTTTAAAAATGTCGATAAATATCATATATTTTTTTTACTTGCCCATCCCTACCAAACACTAGCAAAAAATTGCCAAAATCAGCGAAACTCATCTCCAAAGAATGCCAAAAACATGCCATCATATTGGTATCGTTGGAGACCGTACAGTATAATTAATGAAATAGACATTCTTTCGCATGAGGCATTTGACATCTTCTTGGTCGTTCCCTCACTGCTGAGGATCGTGACTCATATTCAATATTTTAAGTACTTACAGGGTTTAGAAAAACTAAATACTTATGTAAATTTAAATTTCATTAGCAAAAGTAAAAAAAAAACCTTTACTGGAATTATCGTCGTAAAATGTTATTCGAAATTGTTTGTGTGCTGTAAAAGTTTTAACAATTTATGTACCAAACATTAATTGTCTGCTTAGTGTGATAAGCAAAGATGATAAAATACGTTGAGATTTGGCAAATGTAAATAACTTTAACTCTGGCGTAATTCAATTAAAATAAATTTTAAACGATAGAGAAACATCTCTAATTAATTAATCAACAAGCAGAATTCGGCGGTCGCTTATAGTTTTCGAGAAAAAAATATTTAAAACTTGTTATTTTTACAAGAAATCCACCATTTTATTTAATTGACTTCAATAACTCAATCTGCCAACACGATAAATATAGGAAGCGGGCGACATCATACTCGTATCGATCACAGAGTACTTTAGTATATACTGGTATCGATAGGCCGATTTTTTTTTAATTTAATGAGTCACAGAACCGACATAGAGCGAATCGAACTCGGACAGATTAGGTTAGAAGGACAGATTAGGTAAAAGAAGTACAATAAGTAAGAAAGACCGCCTGGTCTTATCGCTCAGAAAGCGATTTCTTCCAGACAACCATTGTGAAAAGAATATTTGCTAATGAGACATAAAGAAGAGAGCAGAGGGAGGTGTACATGAATCACTTATGAACACCGGATGAAGGCATTTATACTTCAATGAGATAGTCAAAGATTTCGGGAAAAATAGGAAAGGAAAAAGGAAAGCGTGAATTCACAGTTCCAAGTAATGAGCTTTTAATTGGTTTGTAAAAGAAAGAAGAGACTTAGCTTGTCGAATGTGAAGGGGCAAAGAATTCCACAAACGCACAGCTGTCACTGTAAAAGATTTTTTGAAGAAGGAAGAGGAATGTACAGGAGTTTGGAGGGAGAGATTGGCAGAAGAACGAAGGGACCTTTCATGGGATAAGGAAAGATATTCGAAGCGATCTTTAAAGTATTTCGGAGTAGAGGGATTAAACAACACACTGTACAAAGCAGAGAGAATATGGGTATTCCTGCGAAGGCGGATTGGGAGCCACTTGAGCTGTGTACGAAAATCGGAAACATGATCATATTTACGAAGCCCAAATATGAATCGAGGACACAAATTTTGAATCCGCTCAAGTTTATTAAGCTGTACTTCGGTAATGTCAAGATAGCAAATATCAGCATAGTTAAGGATGGGCAGAAGTAGTGAATGAGCGAGCGCAACTTTAGTAGCAGTAGGAAGAAAATTCCGCAGTCTTCGTAAGGAGCCTATAGCAGAGAACATTTTCTTACTAATCTCATTTACCTGTGGTGTCCATGTCAGACAGGCGTCAAAAAATATTCCCAGATTCTTCACCTTTTTACTGTACGGGATGTGAGTACCGTTAAGAATAATTGGGGGTAAAGAAGACCAGTCGATTTTAGCGGCCAACCTAGAACTCCCGATGATGATGGCTTGAGTTTTCGTAGGATTGATAGTCAAACCATATGCCTTACTCCAATTAGAAATACAGGCCAAATCACCGTTAGTGCTTTATATGCAATAATTGTATAAACCTGCCTATGCTGCATAGGCAGGTTTTCCAGAGACGATTGAGTATAAATCTGGAGATCATCAGCGTACAAGTGGTAGGAAGAAGATAGGTGAGAGCTTATCGTATTAATGAAGATTGCAAACAGAAGAGGAGACAGCACGCCGCCTTGTGGAACGCCGGCAACATTGTTATTCCAGGAAGAGAAAAACATCCTGCACCTGAACACGTTGTCGACGACCAAACAAGTAACTATGAAACCAGTCAACCACAATCGGAGATATGTTGAGAGAACGCAGAATAGCGAGCAAAATGTCCTAATATATATGTTGTATATTGTTATGTTGTTGTCCTAATATTATGTGTAATATGTAATATTGTTCCTTTGTAAGTAAATAGATATTTTGTAAGAAAAGTAAATTTAATTCATAAGTTAATTTTATGTATTTAATAAGCAACGTACAGTGTAATTAATAAGCACCTCTTTTAATACCGGTAAATAATATAGGTAGGTACCTAGTATAATTATAACCGATTCAATATTGTTTACGTACAAATGTGGATGTGTCAATGTGCACTTTATGAGTAACAAGTGGCTTGACCTTAATTACAGTGAGATCATGAAACAGTTTTATTCAAGATGGTCCATACAGCGATCGTGTCTGTCTCTCTGCTGTATTCTTTATTTTCCTATGTGTCCGCTCATAACAAATTGAATAATCTTTTATTCAACGGTGATTATGATTTTGTAGATTTGACTTATCCTTTTGATAACCAAACTATTTATTGGCCCGGTGGCAAGGATTTTGAATTTACTAGGAAAATCGAAAACTTTAATTATGACGGGTCGTGGTGAGTAAAAACAAAAATCTCAAGAATTTTTTTTTAGCTACTATAAATATTGAGACATATTGATGATCACTCGTCAATATAGCGAATTATAACACTTAGAAGGTCCTTGAATTTTAAAAACATATTTATATACCTGCTACATTTTGAATGGACATAGTTAATTACTTACTTTCACATTTTAAATTGTACGCATAAAAAAACTATTAATAGATTAGAACGCCGTAGGTATGTAATTGACTTAATGTATTTCTTACCGTATAACTACAATAAGATGCGACGGGTATTGCAGTAATTACAAAATAGCGAAAAATATTCTAGGCCCTTTTTAAAGTAAGAACGAAAAAGCCCTATAGAATTCTTGCCAAGTTTGTCTCTGAGGCCTTTGACTAGAGCCCGCTAAGTATTTTAATTTTGTTATGAAATACTCACATATGTATTTAGAAATCAGAGTTAAGGGGATCCGGTCGCCAACCAAGGTCCAGCTGGCGGACTCCTCTTTGCATATAAAGAGGAGTCCGCCAGGTGCATACCAGTACGACTAATGCAGTACATGACGGGGCAGGGGGAGGGGGTTAAAAGAAAACATATTTTCCTTAAGTGCTCCTCGCTGCCAAAGTTAACGATTCGCCGATGGGTATCAAGTGAGTCTTTGTTATTCTGGTTCCTTTGGCCTACGGTTCGAAAATGTAGCTCCGTTACCTGTTGTGTTACATGAGAAGAGAGATATAACGTAAAGAAAGAGCGACGTCTACACTCAAAACAAAGTGATCGATTAAGATAGACGCGTTGCAGATGTACGCGTCAGGTTGTATTGTTATTCCTAAAAATACAGGTTGCTCTGTAACTTAGCTAAGAGGCCGGAATCTACCTTTAAAAACATTGAGTATCTGTTACTGTTTTTTTCAATTCTTTCTAATTTAGCAAACTACTGAATTAGAAAATAACCATTATTATTATGTCAGTTGCAAGGTACCTTATTCTTTATAACTTAAATTACAACACATTGAAATTACTTTAACGCGTAAAAAAGGGATTGTCCGTAATTAAATATTATTGTTTCAGGTATGCTGCGAATGATTTCGCAGCAAGTGAACATGGTGGTACTCATATTGATGCTCCATACCATTTCTTTGCAACCGGCCAACATGTTGGCCAAATACCACTTGACAAGCTCATCGTACCGCGTACGTATTGATGTTCAACTATTAATTGAGTTGAAACTTTCTCATATATAATATTCTCGTTGAATATCTCCTATTTTAGTGATAATAGCAGACATAAGCTCAAAAGTAAACGATGATCCAAATTTCGTCCTTTACAAACATCACTTGGACTACCTTTTGAATGATAACATGGGCAAACCTTGCCTTATTGTGTTCAAATTCGGTTGGGGCAAGTTTGCCAAAGACAAGAAAAAATACTTGGGGATAAAAAGTGACGGTCAACTTAATTTCCCAGGTAAGTTTTATGTTTATCAGGAAAATGGCTGAGTGATTTATTGTAATTACGTTGGTAACTATAGTCAACCACTAATGCTCGGTTCCTATATTCAACGACAGCTGTTAGGTACATAGCTTCGTAACTTTCATAACGACTTGTAGAACAAAGGAACGCTAGTAACTCTCTTTTCGTAGGTAATGCAACGGTTCGTAAGGAAAACGATTCAAATCCTGTCATCGGCAAAAAAAAATGCGACAGTTTTATCTACACATTTTTAAGTTTAATTTTAATTGCAGAGACTAGCACAAATTAAAAAAAAATGTATCAAGTCTAGGAAGAAGATTTTGTCAATTTAAAAAAAAATTTCAAGATGCAAGGAAACCATTCAAATTATTGTTTCATCATCATCATATCCTCCTGCCCTTATCCAGCTAGGTGAGGTCGGCACAACATGTGAATCATGCTGTAAGTGGTTTTGGATAAGTTTTTTTACGACCGCCCACCTCACCGCCTGACGTTAAGCCTCCTTGGGAACAAACACCCAGATCTGGAACAATTATCTGTGGGTAACACAAATACTTGTCCCGTGTGGGAATCGAATCCACGACCTCTAGCGCAAAGACTATAGCTTAGCAACGGCCACCCAGCCACCGAGTCATGTTTCATCTTCTTTTTATTAACACTACTGCGATAACACAATATCCTTTATTTATTTTAGGACTCAGTGCCGAGGTGGCAGAGTGGATAACCTCATCGTATAAGAATGTTGTAGGCATAGGCGTCGATGTAGCGTCAGTTGATCCCGGCGCAAATAACGATTTTCCAGTGCACAAAATTCTTACGAAAGCAGGGCTTTATATGATAGAAAACGTACACTTTGAAAGAGAAATACCAGGTTAGTTGAGGGCACATAAATATATTATTCGACTTTATAGCTCATTTATAGCTCTTCAGGAGAATCTTTGACTAGCAAATTTGGGATATAAAATGTGCCGTTGCTGTTAACACACTGAAGCACGGTAATACAGAATTTGTTTGGGAAAAGTCAAACGCGCGGGTCACTTTATGTTAAGTGATTTACATTGCCCATGTATATCCAAAACACCTGAGGGCTTGAAGATGCGTTGCCAAACATTAATACATTGGGCTCCGCTCACGTCACTTACCAAACGAAATGATAAATTGTAAGAACTTTCTCATGTGTACGATTCCACCTCCATAGCAGCCGCTTGCTGCGGAGACCCGTCTTCGGTTAAGATACTGCACTTTTTATGTTAAAAGGTAAATCAACGGGCAATCATCTGATATTTGTGGTCTTCGTCAACCATGGACATCCACAACAGCGTACAGATAAATAAAAATTGATTTATAGCATCAGGTTTTTTTTGTGGAGGAGGCAGCGTCCGATGCTACTATCTGTACCTAGATCACAGATTAATTTATTACGTTAAATATAGTAGCTAATCAATTAGTTTCGTTCATTTGCTCATTAAACGAGTTCACACTGACTAGCAGTCATTCAATATTGTAACTCTCTTACTTATTTCGTTCTTTAGTCGTTAAATAATAAAATATACGCTATACTACAATATCTACAAATCATATACCACATTTATTTAATATCTTGTTTCTTTTTATAGGCGATATCTTGTTTCCTACTCGTAATCGCTTTTAATATACGAGACATGTAATGCAAGGCAATTGACACACTAAAAAAGTAACACCGTAAAAAACAAACAAGTATTATAGAACACCACAATATTCATAATTATTATAGTTTTCGTTGTTATTGGCCATAACTATTGGACGTTCTAAACAATGTTCGTTTTTTGCCGTATTATCTTATATAATTAAGAATGCGGAATATTTATTACGCGCTTCCATGCGACAATTTTTAGAAAGCCCTATTAACAATACTAAGTACCCTATAACCTATATATATATATTATACAGCGTGTCGTTAACATCGCGACAATAAATGAACACACGTCTAACGCTACTTGCCAATAATCATAAATATGATAACGACACGCTGTATAGTATTTTTTATGTGAAAAGTTGGCAAACGAGCAGACGGTTCACCTGATGAATACCGCCACCGCCACTCATGGACATCTGCTACACTCGAGGGTTTGCAGATGCGTTGACAACCTTTTTGGAAATTGGGCTCCGGCTACCTCACTCACCAGACGAAACGCGAAGGTATTTGTCATACTTCCACTTTACTCCGGTCTTCCGTGAGGTCGTGGTACTTACCCGGAGGAGCCTGCCCATTCGAGCAACAGCCGAGGCTGCTGCGTAGCTCTACCACCGTAGTATACTAGCGACCCGCCCTAGCTTCGCACAGGTGCAATGCATTATACATATAAACCTTCCTCTTGAATCACTCTATCTAGTACAAAAAAATCGCATCAAGATCCGTCGCGTTGTTTTAAAGATGTAAGCATACACAGGGACAGACAGACAGCGGGACGACTTTGTTTTATACTATGTAGTGAAGTTATTATTTATAGTGTAGTGACTTCGGGTAATATGGCCTGGTCATCCAATATGGCCTACATATATTTTTCCGAAATTGACGATACTCATTGGCGTATCTAGGGTTAATTTTTTTCATAAATCATAAAATATAACGTTTTAACTTAAAAGTTCAGTAATTATTCATATGGGTACATACATTGTAATTGTTTTCTTTTATGCATTACAGTAAATATTGAAAACAGAGTATTTTCACATTTTTATGCAAAATTATAAAGTATTTTTACAAAAAATTAAGTAAAATACTATATTATAAAGTAAGGTATGGGCACGACCCACCCAGCTCCCCTGCTATACAGGGTGGCTTTTCTAAGTGTATCCATTTTTTTAATTAAATTCCAGACAAATAATGTTATATAAAAATGATAAATATTTAAAATCACTCGTAAGTAATTAATTACATTCATTTGAACTTATCCTTTACACTTTACGCGCGAGCATTCATAACTAACACGCACAGAAGTTCGAGCACAGTAAAATTTAGGTATTTATGAATGACTACCACATTTTCAACACGTTCTGTTTTTTAGGGAATAGAATAGCATTTTTTTTGTAAAAATTGAACTTTGTTTTTTATTTCAATAAATGATTATATTACAGAGTCTGAACCTCCTGTATAAATTTGGGCACTTCTCAAAAATCTTCCTGTATACGCCTATGACGATACTAAGAGATACATGTGTCCGTCATTTTGTTGTGGCTTTTCCCCTAACCCCCAAGTTGATACCAATGTTGCTGCTACAGCGTCTATGTCGAGAGCGAAAATTGAAAATTATCGAAATTTCTGTTATTTTTCGATAAGGTTAATTCATTTTGTTTCTTTAAGTTATTATTGTTTTTTAATTACTAGTGCACAAATTTGTATGCGAGTCCTTAGTACACAGCGTGGCAACATTTTTAAGGCATTTTTAACCGACTTCAAAAAAGGTTTCTCAATTCGACCGTATATATCTTTATTTTTTTTTGCGTGTTCGGGGATAACTTCGTCATTTATGAACCGATTTTGATGATTCTGTCCATGATAAAGAAACCCAGATCAGATGATGGCATCGCAGAGAAATCGATGGATATCCGCAAATGTTATAAGTGTTGACAATGCTTTTAGTTTCCTGTTTAAAGTCGTTTTTTTTTTGTTCAAAATTATGTTCAGTAGTTTTTTGAGGTAGGTATAATTTTTAAGGTTAAAAACGTCCTTGTGGCCAATACGGCTCACTTGCTCGTCAACATCCTTAAGCCGGTTTGCAGCTTAAGTAGATCTGTCAACAGATTTAGCGATTTACGTAAAACTATTTATGACCATAATTATGTACATAAAAGCTATCCCTCAGGTTGGATTCAAACTAACTTATTTAAAAATTATCTTAATATTCCATTCAACGCTTATCACCGCGTTAAACCCACTAAAATTCACCGCTTATTTTCAACGGCCATACAGGTTACACAAGAAATCTTGAACTATCAAATCTTGTAAGAAAAAATAATGCCCGCTTTACCGTTAATATTTTCATAAAATGGGCCCTGGGCCATATTAGCCTACCATGTTCAAATTTTGATTGTTAGACAATGTTATAAAAACTATTATTAAAGTTATGCGTTGTTGCGAAGAACTTAATTTTTTTAGTTTTTGATTACTATTAAAGTTAATGAGCAAATATAATTAATAAATACTGTTTCATCTCAAGAATATCAAGTTTTATCTTCAAAAATGCCTATTGGTGTGCCATATTACCCGAAGTTACCCTATATATAAAATGTATACTATACATGATGTAAAACATCGTATTTTGAGTGACAATTAATTTAATTTTCACAGTAGTCTAAATAAATAATAAGTATACACATACATATAAATTTGTATGTGTTATATGATGTGAAATTGTTGAATAACTCAATATATGTATTTACAGATCACGGTTGTACAGCCCTAGCCCTGCCTATGAAGATTGCATTGGGAACGGGCGCACCACTCCGTTTTGTAGCTGTTTGTCCGAAACAGTCTCCGGAACATGTTTAAAGGTGTAATATAGGTTATATAAGAAAAAAATATGAATGTAATCTTACTAAATGTTTCATTATTAAAATAATGTACCTACCATGTAATATCGTCAGTTGTTATATCAATTAATGTAACCGCCAAAATGACGAAATTGAGATAAATATACAGTTCGTCTGCAAATTTTTCGCTCCATCGATTGGTATCTTTAAAATCTCGATATGATGAAAATAATGGCGATTACTTTAAAAAAAATCCGACTGTTTTTAATAATTTTCATACATTTTTGTGATGTATAATACATATGAGAATGATCAAAGTATGGGTTAATGTAACGATGAATTTGGCCCAATGTGAAACAAAGTCGGTAATGTAAGAGTCAATCTTGTAAAAATGTAATAGCGAACTCATCATGCTGGCAATAAATACAATGAAAATATCAACAATTTTTCTACGAAATACATAGAAGATTTGCCAGTACTATTATATTTATCTCAATATTTTAAGTGTGACTAAACTGTGCCGTCTTTACGTATAATATTGCGACGACAATTCACATGACTATCTGAGTGAACGTCTTTTATGTAATTTTACTATGCAGTTATGAATGAAAAGGAGACCCATGATTACAAAAATCATCTATAAACCATGTTATAAACGAAGTGAAATACATCAGAATATATTTCACTTCGTTTATAGCATGGTATTTATCAGGTAGACAAGGATAACTCCACTGTGATAGCTAATTTTGATCTCCAGAAAGTCCTTAATACCCCACATGGCCAGAGTATGCTGCTTTACTACTTAAGAAAGTGTGCAGTATATAATTTGACTCTGTTATGAACCCAAAACTCAAAATGGATTCTGTTACAACACCTGGGGAGAATACGATGGAAAAAGGGGGGAGTTAGAACAAGGATAATTAAGAAAACCTATTTAAATGAGATGGGTGTAAAATTTATAATGAAAAACTTGAAAATTGTTGGTATTCATCAAAAAGAATTTTTAACTTAAATTACTAAAACTATATAATTTATTCTAACCTTGCCAATATTTTAAGAGATTCAGTACGTAACTTCTACAGCCAATACATCACAACTTATGTCGACGTCTTGAAAACTCTGTGAGTTACGTTATAGCTGTTATTATTTATTACAAAAAATGTTAACGTAACGCGATATTTAAAAAATAAAATTAACGTAACCACCGTGCCATCTTCTAAATTATAATAGTAGGCTTCTTATGGTTTTTTTCAGAAATCAGATGTCAGAATTTTGAAAAAAATGCGTTGCGATAGGATAAGTATGCAAAAAGTTTCAACTATTTTTGTAAATCGTAATTTACTTTTTGCCTCTCCTGTAAAGTTGCCTTTTGGCGGTTACATTAATTGATATTTCAACTGACGATATCAATTTCACAATTTCTGATATAAACAAATGATCCAAACTTATAACTGGGTACCATAAGTTCGGTTTTTTTCGGTGTTTAATCATCTCATGCATTACATATTATAGTGTATAGTTTTTCCACAATTTGTTACAAAAAAATTTACTTTTTGCCGAATTGTTTGCCGAGTGGGCCTTATTTACGAATCGTTAGCGGATTTCATAAAAAGGACCATTATTCAAAGTATGATAAGACGCAACTTCAACAACCGGATCAATTAAAACTGTAGTGTCAAACTCAATCATGCCTTATATAAAGATATGTACTAGTTTCTTCATTATCCTGATATCATTTTTCAGTAATAAATAAACGTTTGATATAAAGTGTATCTATACTCACATATTGAGAAAAAACACCAAAATTAAATAAAGATTTATTATATGGAATAATCACTTAAGCAAGATACAAAACGGCTCTTTATGTGAGCAACAAAAGAAATAATGATATTTTTAACGATAAATACTCAGTATATATCTAAAGCGTATGAGAACGCAAAAAAATCTTATTTGCAATAAGATTCTGGTAAACCAATTCCCCTTGTTCATTTTTTAACTCCACACATGGGACGCCATCTTTATAATCGATCACATTGGCGTGGAATGGACCTTTATCTAAAAATGTTTGTTCATACTCTGTCGTAAGGACTTTCACGTCTGCAATAGGGTTTATTTCTATTGCGTACAAAATTGCTTGTACTGTTAATGGGGGCAAGTCTATAAATTCTTCTTCTATTTCTCTGACATCCGCTAGACAGATAATTTCGATGTTGCCATAGTCGACATACCGCACTTTTAACTGGTTAGTGTTTTCACTGTATTCCAAGATTGACGCTCTATACCACTGGCCGTCTTCAGTAAACATGGCAACACAGGCTTTGTTTTCGAAAATGCCATTCAAAGGCGCCATACTATTAGCCGTCTCTTGTAGTTTTTTAAACATTTCTTCATATTTTCCCATAGTTTCTTCACAATGCACGATGTTCAGTTGGAAATTATTCACGTCATTTATAACTGTGATGTTGCATACGAATTCTTTGACGATATTTGTTTTAAAGTTAAAATACTTCCCTTCAAAAGATTTCTTTTCTTCATCTTCTTGTACTATTTTATTCCAATCCCTACCTTTCAATAGCTTCATGTCGTAACAATCGTAAGACGCTGATAAATCAGTATCTTTTTCTTCTTCTTCTTCTACTAGATAATCGGGACCAGAGTCCGATTCCAAAAGAGGCGAATTTTTAGGATCATCATATGTACTTTTTTTCGGTCCGTATTTCCTCACAACAGCTTTGGAGCCATCACTGTACTCGGCCATTTCGAATTCAACTAAATGATCATTGATGCACAATTTATCATACTTCAATTCGATTTGATAAATACCATTCACTGCATTACCACAGAGTTTTACAAAACATTCTTTCTCAACAATAGATTTGTGCATATAGTCCAATGTTTGTCTATCCCAGCAATTGTCAATGGACTGTATGCGATTCAACATGCATTTTTTAGCTTGTGTTGGAATTTGGTATAGGGCTATACTTTTTCTTAGGTTGGAAAAAGAACAACTCTCTTCATTCCCATAATCAATATAATGCACCAAGCAAGTGGATGTCTCATTATTAACTTCTAAGATGCGTCCTCTATAAAACTTATCGTCTAGATAGTACAAAGCAATGCATGGCTCACCAACCGCCCACTTGGCGTATTTTGCTTTAGGGTCGGGTTTCTTGAAGCGTACATCTAATGCTTTCCGTATCAAATCAAGAGTATCCCGTTGGGAAACATCATGTAGATAAATGATCCCATCGTAGTCCACATATCTGTAATGAAAATAAAATTTGACTATCAATAACAGTTCGATTTAAGGTTTTAAATGGTGGAAAAATATTCATAGAGTATGCATGACGCAATTTCCTTCCGAATTAAACACCTACCGAACGGCGCTAATTTCTAAAATGTATATGTATTTTTAAAACAGTTTTATCCATTGAAAGGTTTCTCAAAGGTGCCATTTATCAGCAAGTAGACAAAAAAAAATTGATGATCTTTTTTAGATTTAACCTGTAACCACTTTCTGAAACAGTGAAATCGGCTAAATACCGAATTACTGTTTAACCAAAACACAATAAATAACAGTTAATACATTTAAGGCTATCCTATTTATACGCCAACTTCTTGTTTCTGGTTCACCAATAAGGTGAGTAATGTTTTTTTTTTTAATATTACACTAGGAATTTCACAAAAAATTAAACCAGATTACTTTGATGCGAAGTTACATAAATACTTAGATCGTGTGGGATTGGAGCATTTACTAACTGCACCAAACGATTCATCAAAAGCGCATGAGTTAACCTTTATTTCGCCATACGTCATATATTCCAGAAGTAAAGTTCGATAACACGTGGATAAGAATGACTACTACACTACTCTGTAAAAGTACTATATAGTTTTTTTTTTTAAGGAAAAAACGTAAATAATTTAAATACTTACTTATATTAATTGTAATTAAATTTCAAATTAAATCTCATGGTTTCAATAAAAACTTACGTGGGTACACCCATAAATTCTTCGTTTTGAAATGGCTCTGGTGGCATCCAATCAGATATAAATATTGTTTCTATTTCATCTTTCGTTGTTTGTGTTTTCTCGTCATTTCCAGTATTAAATGTACAATTCACTGGTGTGGAAGCGTTGGAGTTGCTTTCGGAATCCGATTTTAGAATTAGAGGTTTCGTTGGCAAAGGTTCTAATTGTAGCCACTCCTCGACTGAACCAGTCACGTTGAGAAACGATAACATGTTTCCGCTTGCATTGTCAGTGGCAACACTAGGAGAACTAGTCTGTAAAAGATACTGTGATTCTTAAAAAAAAACATAAACTAGCTTACTCTAGCGGCTCTTCAACATTTTTGTGTGTACATTTAGAAAGGGTAACTGTTTTGCTAAAAAGTAAAGTGCATTTCGGTTGCATACTATTGTTTCCATACACTTAGTGAAGCACATTGCAAAATCGTTCGGTCGGCCTAGTCGATATAAGTTTGGGTCGAGAATAAAGAGCGAAGAGTTTAGTGTATTTCGAGCTCACAACAAGATTCTCTTAATTGAAGTAAAATACCCTACACACTTTTCGCTCGAGGCCCATACTTAGCCTTATTTAAGGGCTTACTGCACTTCCAATCAGATTCCACCCTAGTATAAGTATGGAGAGAAGTGGGCTTAGTAAATGTAGCTTGGTCGAACAAGGTCAAACTAGAGAGAGAAATGGGCTGAACATAGTTATTTATACGCTTCAAAAACTTTAGGTTGTACAAAACAAATTCATCCTGGTTGCAACAGGCGCCAGGCGGTCGATCTACAAAACGTCGACCTGTTGGTCATTAAATGTTACTCATTATTATAAAAATCACACCCCTTTGGTGGTAAACGCAGCGGTGGTGTCGCCCACGTAACTTCTCCGTCCTCATCGACCCGGTCAAGGAAACCAAAGTATTTCAGACCCACCAGTGGTCACGCCCGACAACACTATAGTTAGTAACTTAGAACCTCGGTTACGCAAACGGCAACACCAACACACGCGTAAACACAAAATTTATAGTCTACGTACAAAGAACTACATCTTTTATCGCACATATTCATACAAAGATTTGGTGTACGCATAGTAGAAGTAAAAGTCAAGGTTAAAAATATGAAAGTAGCCATTACCTTTAGATTTTTGTCTGGTATACCCAAGCCTTGATCGATGATTTTCTTGTTCAGACAACGCCACTCCGAAATGTTCGCCTCCAGGGCTTCGCCTTGGGTCGTGTGGTATACCCACATTTCAACGGGCATGCTCTTGTCTTTGAATTCGCCGAATTTCGTGATAAAGATTCTTTTGTACACGTCCAACATCTCTTTCAGGTATTCCTTCGTCACCGACGGCCATTCCTCTCCGTCAGCGGGCACTACGCCGCACAGGTGGCACTTTATAGCAGCGTATCCAATCGAGGAGAAATCCTCAGTCAGCTCTCTCAGACTTGACAGAGGTACAGTCTCTATGCAGGCGAAATCCGAGTAGAATACCTTCGCGCTGTCACTCGCTAACTCGACAATAACGGCTCGCCGCCACGTTTGCGACTGTTGGCATATTGTGCAGCACCTATCACCGATGCTCCACTTCTCTTTGCCTTGTGTCTTCTTTTTCGAGTAGTGTTTTTGTATGTTCTCGTACAAAGAGTTGAAGGTTTTTTGCTGATGGACGAGTGACACGTAGATCAAGGAAGGCGATTGGTAATAGAGCACCTTGGCCTCTAGACGCAACGGGCCCTTGTCTCTCGCCTTCAAGTGTTCCTCCGCCCCCTTGGTTTTGGGAAACTGGTCTTTTTTCAAAACATTGACAACGTTTTCTGGATTCCGTTTGGGTGGTGGTGCGTTTTGTTCTAGCGGTGATTTATTAGTGATCACCGGTTCTTCGACAACATTCTGTTTGTTGAACATGAACAATCTGAAAATTAAAGCAATCACGATATGTCTACTTGCTCAAAAATACGTTTGAGATAATCGTCATTACGGGGAACGTGTCTCACCCAAAGGAAACGGCGAATCTACACCTGACCATTTCGGTGTTAAGGCAAATTACATTTTCCGTGTCTGTTTTGTCATACAGAGTGACGCCAAGCGAGCGGTTGCGGTTGTCTTCTACGTAAAGCTCGAGCGGTCGATTGCTGAACTTTTGCAGCAGCAACACGGAGTTCGGACTCCATTTCTTGTTTATTGGCGTAACACCAGCTAAGTGGCATTCTGTGGCCTAAAACGTTTGAACGAAAATTAACATGATAAATCAAAGCGCGGTTACTAGACGTTTCGATGGCAGTGTACATTAATTTATCTTACTAAATTGTGGCGATTTAGCGAATGCACAAAATGTATTGACGCAAGTTAGGACTTGTTCATGGCGCATTGACGATTCCGCAAGACACTTCTTATAATTCCGTAATCGCTGTTACATTTTAACATTTATCAAATGTTGTATATTGATGTATTGGTTTACTAAATAGTACAAATACGGACAAAGTGTTTGTGTTTTTCGAACTCATACAGAAGCAGTCTGTAGAATCAAAGTCCATATCATAGGATGAAACGAATGGGATACGTAGAAATTAATCAATGTAAAACAAATCTCAAATATTTTACAAATTGCATTTAAGTAAGATGTCACAATGAACGAGCGTGAGTAAATATTATTGTTTGTTTTACGATTGACAGGTAGTGAGAAAATACCCTGAGCGTGGAAGGACGTGAGATTATACGCTAGCAACTTAACGCATATGTACCGTTTAGTGCAAAATTAGCGTTACATATAATTTTCACCAAATATCTATAGAATTTAATATCAAATATCGAATAACAACGTTGTTGTCAACTGTAGGCTAATGAATAGTAGAAGCAAGACAGACGACGATTTAGACTGAGGTGCCTGATGAACCAGAGAGCAATAAATACTCCAATAAATATTCCCGTGCTGAGCCGCTCTAATATCCATAAAGTTGCAAAAGGCACGGTTAGTGCAACCGAATCGCGCGCCCTGTAGTTGCGAGTGCGTTTCTTTTAATGGGAAAGTTTGTCAAGCAAGCATTTGATTCCGCAGCACATGAACATCTACAATACCCGAGGGGTTGCAGATGCCACCTCACATCAGTTTGTAGAAGCGTTGCCAACCTTTAGAAATGTGGGACCCGTCAGCCTCGCAAAAGTGTTAAACTTCCGCTTCACGCCGGCACTTCCCCGGCCGAGCCTGGCCATTCGTGCAACAGCAACTTTTGCGTGCGTACCCCCCCTCCCCCCGGTTTTATGTGAGATCGAGTTACTTCGCCTGGCGAGCTATCCGCACTGTCGGAGACCGGAGTGTACGCACGACCGGAGTGTGCCCTATGCACAGGAGGCTCCAGTGGGCGAATCCCCTAAACAGCAGTTTTTGCATCCCCCCCTTCCCCCTTTGGAGTCGTAATCACGAGAGCTCGCGGCCTGGTGGCGGTCTGGATGCGGCCTAGCGCTCCAGTGGACGACATCCCCCCCCCCCCCCCCCCTACCCAGTCGGAGTGTACTCACGAGGGCGCGCAGCCTGGTGAAGGCGGGCTGGATGCGGCGCAGCGCGCTCCAGTGCGCGAGCACGGAGGCGCCGCAGTCGGGCAGCAGCAGCCGCACGCGGCCGCGCCCCGGCAGCTCCCTCACCACGGCGCGCGCCCACTTAGCGCGCAGCCCCCTCCCGACGGCGTCCGCCGCGCCGTACTTCTCCACGTTCACCACGCACACCATTTCTGCGCGGCGAGGGGCAATATATTGGTTTCGGTCACCCCAATTACATGAAACGTGTACAGTATAACACTACTACTTCACAAAGCAAAAGTATTTTGAATGGACCAGAGTGGATCTCACATAAAATGAATACATTATTATTAACTATGTATGACTATTTAATTTAAAGCTTACCTAATTCCGGAAGGTAGATAGTACCAGTATTTACACTGTAATTTTGATCGAGTTCCTCAGATAACTTCTCATATACCTCTTGGAGGTGTTGCTGAAGAAAGAAATTATAAAAATGTCTCACAACACAAGACATGAATAAAATCATTCTTTTATTGACACAATAATAATTTGTAATAATTTTAATTGAATACAATGCTTACCTTTCTAACATAAAAGTTATCTGGGCTCACTATATGGGTTATGTAGACTTCCTCCACTGTTTTCAGCTTAAAGTCGTTATTGCTTATAAACAACTTTGGCTTCTCGATAATGCTCTTATTTCTCGGATACTATACAAACAAATGAGAAATGTGTGTTATTTGTAAAATAAATTAAATTTTGCTTTCCAAGCAGTCCTGTCGAATGACCTTTCAATTCAAAAGTAAATGAATTTAAAGCAATTACTAAGACATCAAGGTCTTTCGGGTGATAAACTACATACAGGCTATCTCAATTTGTACAATATGAACACCAAGTAAACTGCAGGAAATGGCATTTAAACTCGGTTAAGACCTTGTTAAGTCTAGTCGCGATAGGAACCTTTGAACGATACGCTTCATTTAAATTAAATTAAATCTAAACAAGCGAGGACTAGATGGCCTGTACCCATAGATTCCAGGGCAATCTGCCCTGTCTTGTCTCGTATATGTAGATATAATTTAAAAAACTAAAAAAGCCCGTGTAATTTGGAAATGATTATAATATACCCAGTGTCACTCTAACAGTAAGTACGAATCTAACGACACGTCTCAAGCTTAAATGCATCAAGCCATTCAGGCTGCAGAGCATGCACAACAATTATACATACATACATATTTTCGAAAAACAAAACCCTCCTTCTGGCAAAGTCGGGTAATTGTTGTATAACATTGGAACAATATTCGATATACATCTGATTTAAAATCAACTCCTGGGTGTATGTACCGGACACTATAACAAATATTTGTTCAGCTTCCTGTTCGAATATCGGTATTTCCAACATTGATAGATAAAACAAATATTTGGTCTTAGTGACGAAAACTCGTTATTAAAATATAAATACGTCTAATTATTTTTATTACTAATTCAATTTATTATAGTAAATATTAGCTTCGGCGTCGGGTGTCATGGGTTCGATTCCCACACGGGACAAGTATTTGTGTGACCTACAAATAATTTTTCCGGATCTGGGTGTTTGTTTCCCAAGGATGGTTGACGTCACGCAGTCGGCCGGTCGTAGAAAACATAGCCAAAACCGTCTACAACACGATTCACATGTTGTGCCGACCCCACCTAGGTGGGACAAGGGTGGGACAAGAAATGGTGGTTTTAAGGTAAAACTAAGGCAATATTCATATTGGGCGAAGTGAATAAAGAAGTTTCGACCGAGCTCACCGGCAGCCTGGGGTTGGGCATACGGGCCCTTCCATGGAACACAAGGGCGTGGGCAAGGCTGACGCCGCCCTCGAAGGTGGTCACTTCGCAATCTATGGTGACGCTGTAGTTGGACGTGGAGCGAATGCGGTGGACGTGCATCACCGCTTGCTTGCTGTTGAGGTATAAAATGTTGACACTGTGGCTCAGTTGCAGAGGTATCGTCTTCGGCACCGGGGGCGTGGGTTTGGTTCTCACACGGTACAACTATTTGTGTGACACACAGATGATCGTTTCGGATCTGGGTATTTGCCCACGTGAAATTTATGCATCATTTATGCTTGCTTGTTGTTAAGGTTTGAAATGGTGACTCTGTGGCTCAGTTGCAGAGGGTCGTGGGGTCGATTCCCACTCGAAAAAACGCCTACGTAAAATATAAGTATGCAAAACGTCCTTACAGTATATAATGTTATACTAAAGTAAGGGGCAACGTTTTCGAAGGGAGGACTTACGTTACCGGTGGTAACTTACGAACGTATTAATTTTTATGTAAAATTTTCGACATTTCATAAGAACGCGCAAGCATCTATGTGAATAAATATATTTTTGATTTTAATTTTTTTGACCATAGTACATCTTCTAGGTCCACACAAATCATAATCACCATGTTTAAAATATTTACGTGTCGAAACAAGAGCATCTTATACTGGATATATACAGTTTGTTCTAATGTCATTTTAATGATAACACAAAAACTACACAGAGGCTTTAGTCAACTTTTGATCTCGCAAAATTTCGAATACTTCACAGCGTAAATGGTAAAGATAAATTAGTAATAAAAAACCGTAATAAATTGTGCAAGTTTATCCAGGTTAAAGGAGAAGACATCAAATGATGTTAAATGACTTTTTGAAGAACGAAAAAAAATATCATTTGAAAATATGACAATCGTGCTAATAATTGAAATAAAACTATTTGAACGTAAGTTTACATACTTATCGGTTATATTTTGTATAAATAATGCGTCATCGGTGGTCCACGCGCCAGACATTGGTTCGCAGTTTGCTAGCGAACAGTTGATGGCGAAGGGGAAAGGAGACTGTACCCACGCCGGTGGAAGTAGACGTAATCTGGTGAGGAAATTCGTGAACATTTTACATATAAATCCAAAGCGATAATCGTCGCTTACAAATAATAACATCCATAACATAGATTGCCGCCCAGAGGCGAAAAACTTTTCATCGATTTTTTTACTAATTTTAATGTTTCATTTTAAGTGCAGAAATTAGCACTATAAATTTTTTTACTACAAATAGCAATGGAGATACCTGTCGTTTGAATTATCGTTGTAAAACGTGTGTTTGAAATTCTTTGTTTTCTGTGAAGAACATAACAATGGAAGCGCCGAGCATTGCTTGAAATGCGAAAAAACAATGTAAATAAAAAAATTACTTTGAGATTTTTAAATCCTTAGTGGTTAAAGTTTATGGGCATGAAACCGCGAGACGTGGGTTCGATTCCCGCAGCAGCGTAAAACTTTTCGTCCATTTCTTCTAAAAATTTTAATAAACATAACATCAAGAGTACATACTTATCCAGCGGAACAATTTCCGTGCTTCCAAAGTCGATGCAAAACACCTGGAAGAGCGGCTTACTCGTGTTTTTTCTGTCGATGCTGATAACTCGGCACCTCTGCCACAAGCTGTCGGCCTTGTTGAAAACCAAGTAGAACTTTCCTGGGGGTGATTAATTATTATTTATAATTCTTGTACATCCCCTTAATCTTGTTGACCCTGTTTTAAATTGATGCGTTATTTTCCGTCGATAACGACAAGGCCCAGGTACCTTAAAGTCTGCAAGTTTGTAATTGAAGTACGAGGCAAAGGTACAGACGTATTTAAATTAGTTTCTTCTGAAGTTATTTAGTCTTATTTAGTTAAGTACAGATCAATATTTGACATTATTTCTTTTATCATCTCGTAGAATTATTTAATGTTAAGCCTTTTTAAAAGAGATTATCAAGTGGCAGATATAAAGTTCAGATTATTGATATAAATACCTTCGACTACGTGGGTCACCGACGGTGTGGGCAAGGAGACGGCGTTGCGGAATTCTTTCAGCATTTCCTCAACCATGGTCTGATGGCAAGCTCTTTGTACGAAAAAGTTGTGCGGAGTCACTATGTGCGAAATATAAACTAGCTCTTGGCCGCCTGAAATTTAATAAAGAATTTCAGACAAGGTATGCAAGAACATAACAATGGAAAAAAACAAGAACATAACAAAAAAACGTCACTTTTTTTGTTCAATGTGAAAAGTTGACAAGCGAGAAGGCGGTTCACCTGATGTTAAGTGAACACCGCCGCCCATGGACATTTTTTATACCCGAGGGTCACCAGACGAAACGTGAAAGTATTATACTTCCACGGTACTTACCCGGACGTGCCCGCCCATTCGTGCAACAGCATAGGCTGCTGCTTGGCCCTACCACAGTTAACTTAATATGACATTCAAAGTTTCCTATGGAACGGCGGTAACATGTTCTTTTCTTTAACTAAAAAAAAACTATAACAAGCTTTTTTTTAATTATATGGAGTGCACGCCGATGGTTTTAATAAATAATGAAGTTCTGGAATTAAAATTTAAAATACACTATTTTCTTAACACAAATCCCGTGACTTTCAAGCCGCAAAATTACTTGTAATATCTTCATCGTTTACATTTACGACTTGCGCTAACATGCTAGTGTTGATAGTGACAAACTGTTGTCGAAGGACACATACTTGTACTCTTTTATTGCCCCGTGTCTATAATTTTTACGAAAATAAACCTTATGCAAATAAGTGAAAACGAGGACGACTTGTAGAGTAGAGTCTATCACTTGCAGACGAAACTCACCGACCGTCATCGTGATCATATAGAAGTGTTGCAGGCGTGTGAAGCTCACGGTAATATGGGGAGTAAAAGTAGTTTCATAGATTTAGGAAGAGAAATGACATGAAATATCTCTAAACGATTCTTCAGTTTGTTTAACAGTTGTACTGAGCACTCCATTTTGTCTTTAATAGTATTTTCACTGATACGCTTACCCTAAGCGAATGATTGGCACAAGGCATAAACAACGCTTTAGGATTGTCTTTCAACAGTTTATGTAACAAATTTAAGTTTGATTTTGAGTGCAGATTAGCTCTAAAAACAAAAAAGTCCCATATTTCAATGGCTACGAAACACCTCTCATTCAATAATTCATCGTTAAATGTAATTTGAGTAATAGGTGGCGTCAAGCATTGCTAAAAATTTAAAAGAAAGTTGTTGAGATTTTCGCGCTGTATGATATCGGCCGTTTAGTTCAGTGACTAAAGCTTTATTTATCTTTTAAAGTCACGTTGTTCACTCTGAAATATTTTGATGTTGAACACTGCAGACATTCTCTAGGAATTTGCACAAATATACAGCGTGTCGTTACCATCGCGACAATAAATGAACACACGTCTAACGCTACTTGCTAATAATCATAAAAAATATTAACGTTAAACAAAATCCATAATTAAAAAAAATATTTTTCAAACAAACTAATTAAGTAAAAAAGAAACAAAATTTGTAACATCCTATACAACTCGCGCCACAGCGTCGCATAACAAGCTTCTCCTTCTAACAGTATGTTTATGTCTCTTTTAAATTTATTCAACCCATTCATATGCTTTGTGACCTTTACGTTACAGTTTTATGCTTAAGGGTGATCTAAAATTCTTTGTTTTGGAAAATTTAATAACTCTGTAAATATTGATGTTTAAAGAATGTAAATGTTTAATACAATTTTAAAAATTTATCCCCTATATGTGTGTTCATTTATTGTCGCGATTGTAAAGACACGCTGTATATAACTATTTCAAAGTTTATACATACATATTTATTTAAAAAATGTTTAATGAAGAAATTACCTTCATGCAGTTGCTTAGGGTGTTGACTTTCTGGAAATGGTGATACAGATTGAATTATTGGCCTCTGATACCCATCGTCTGTAAATAGCAATATACAAGGTGAGAAAAGAGAAGGCTGTTCACCAAATGCTTTCAACCCTCATGAATAACCAAACCCATGCGGTTGCACTTGTATTCACAAGCGTTAAGCGAGCGCGCTCGGATCATTCTCCGAAACAAATGAATTACTAAGTATGAATACCTCTATTTTTCGCACGGTTGGAAGTTGCCGTGTTAGTTCTACTACAGCAACGGTCGGTTACATTGAGTTAGTATTTAAAGAATGCCCCCTGTACCATCATTTAAGATAAGAATTATTACATAAACATATTGAAGCAATACCCCTATTGATAGCATTATGCGAGCTTATGAAAGAAGAATCGCTGTTGAGAGAGTTTATAGACGACAGGGAACCGCTCTTGCGGTAAGTTGGGGCGCGCTTATAAAACGACTGCGATTTGGCAGGTTCCTTTTCGCTTTTTGGTTTGTTCTGTTGTCTCACGTCTGAAATAAAAACAACACTTAGAATAATTATGCATTTCAGTCTGGTTCGACGAGATTTTAGCGTAGGCTTGTCCTTACTCCTTTTGTTCACCTGATAATTGAAGTTAAGTGAATACCGCCGCCCATGGACATCTGCTATACCCGAGGGTTACAGATGCGTTGGCAACCTTTTGAAAATTGGGCTCCGTCCACCTCACTCACCAGACGAAACGCGAAAGTATTATACTTCCACTTTACGCCGGTCTTCTGTGAGGCTGCGTGGCCCTACCACAGTTTTAAAGTTCATATTTCTTTATGATTATTGGCAAGTAGTGTTAGAAGTGTGTTCATTTAAGGTCGCGGTTGTAACACTATGCTGTATATCTAATATATAAAATTCTCGTGTTACGGTGTTTGTAACTGAACTCCTCCGAAACGGCTCGACCGATTTACGTGAAATTTTGTGTGCATATAGGCCAGTGTGGAGAATCGGACATCTATTTTTCATCCAAAACGTTAAGGGTGGTCCGCCCCAAACATTTTTATCTACCCTACAAATAATTTATATGGCCAAACAACGTTTGCCGGGACAGCTAGTATGATATATAAAGATCTGTGCAACAGCAGAACCTGCTGCACGACCCTACCAGAGTTAAAGTCAACAATGTAAATATAATTAAAATATGTAGAAAAAAGTACGAAGTTCGAATGAGAGATGTCGCCATTGCTAATAGAAATTTAAATTTTATAGTGCTTATCTCTGCACTTAAGATGATACGAAGCCCGAACACGTGGGTTCGATTCCACAACTGTGAGAAACTTTTCGTCCTTATTTCTACACATTTCAATGTATCGTCCTAAGTGCACAGATTAGCACTATAAAATCGAAATGCAAATAGAATTCATTACCTTTGGGTAATTCTGGAGGATAAACCGGGGCTGGTGGAGCAGGTGGTATTTCGATACTTGGATCCAATTCAGCAGTAGAGAGGAGTTCGTATGTACTATTATTATCACCTTCCAGGCGAATATACCCGCTAATGAGATTGCACACCTCTTCATTTACGACTAAACTGCAAAATTATTACAACCTTACATATAGTAAAAGAAGTATAATAATTTATGAGTCACTAAATTGTTCTTGAAGAATAAAAGAATAAAAGAAAGCTGGAATTTGCATAAAACATATTTTATCTTAGTGTAATTGGTTTTTACATTTTTTTTAAATATCACTGAAGACTAAAAGACACAAAATTCAATAAGGTTTTTTTCATACTTCCTTGGAATCCTGATTCTGTTCAAATACCATGGACTGCCAACAACTTTCTTGGCATCTTCTAGGAGTATTGACATGTTTGCCTAAAAAGAAAATTTTGTTTCTCTTAAAATTTGAAATCAATTAAATTGCCTTTTATTGTATTATATACAAAAGTTTTGCTTCCTGAGGTTCACAAAACTTAATAATTAGCCAGTAGATTTCCTTGATATTTGGTCAAAAGGTAGCTTTTGAACAGACAAGTGTACATTTTATTCTGTAGATCCAATGGAAACGAAAAAAAAAATCCACAGCAAAGCGCAGCTGGGTTCAACTAGTACAATTATAATTTAAGGACACCGAGTTAAAGCTTATTCTTTTCAACCTGAGCAATCAGTTTGATTATGGACAATTGAACATTCACATCTGACACAACATCTGACTTAGAAGTTGCAGGGTTTTGCAAACCACTAAATGATCCTTATTACTTGATTCATCAGATACAATGAGAAGTGTAAATACTTTTTAAAAATGATAGAGTTCTGTGAGACTTACTGTTGTTTTAACCTTTTTTTGAATAAGAAATAAGATTAAAAATACCTGTCTAATTTTATCCACACTCAACGATTTGTTTATAGCCATGAGGACTGATTTTGCTTTGGTAATTGAATCGGCTAGTGTGCTCTTTGCCTTATGCAATGATTCCTTTTCAGCATTCTTCAGAAAAAGTATTTTATCAATGATTTCTTTTTTCTGAGTCTGAATGATGAATGTGAGCTTGGAAAAGTGTTGTTCTACTTCACTTGCAATCTGAGTTAAATCTGAAGATCCGGTGTCATTTGCAATATCAAGTAACAAATGTCCAATGTCCTAGAAGATAAAAACATTTTTATACTAAGTTGTGTAAGACAATTGTTAAATTGTGCAATTTGGGACAATATACTACTATATAATAATACTATACTACCAGACTGATTAGTCAACATACACATATTTTTGATTTCTCCATAATAGCCTTGTGGGTTAGTAGGGTGGAACTGTAAGATAAACTAACTCCACATGAATATATATATTTACAGTTACAGTTATTATTCAAAATAACGGCTCGCCGTGCGACGGCGATTAGCTGTTATGTTAGCTGTAGACAGGTCGCCACAGCCTTATTAATAACCAATTATGACAGCTTACCAAATTCAACTAATTAAACAAAGTCTACATATGTGTATACACATATTAAAAAACAAGCCATTATTTTTTGTATGGCAAAGAGTAAGTAATTAGAATCTAACTGTAAAATTTTTTTTAGAAAAATAAAACTATTTCCTTACTACTGCAGTTTTTGTTAGTCTTCTGAAGGTTTCATCAACTTTAGGGGAGATTTCTGCTAGCTCCTCCAGTAATTCTTCGTTCTGGAAACAAGGTAAATATTTACAACTTTTCTTATTTACATGAATATTACAGATTTAATGAAACTAATTTACATATTTCATTTATAGTATACAAAAGCCTCCACAGTAAAGTTCCCTTGAGCTACAAACTCTTCTTAAACAATGCTAACATAAGAGCCATAGTACAACAATGCTATACATATATCCCATGCTCAAAGCCCACAAACCTAGTTCATGTAATACAAAGTTAGTTAATACACCTCACAACAGGTGTTAAATGGTATCAGTGTAATGTGGAACTGCATAACAATTGCAATTTATTTACACCACACATCCAGTTCTGGCAGTAAACACAGCCAATTAACAAGCTAACATAAACCAGACTGTTGACAAACATCACCATAGGTAAAGATACCAGAACCACAATAAAAATCGTAAATTAGTTTATTATAATATTTTAGTTAACATATTAAATTATAAATATACTGTCATAGCTATATATAACTTCAAATTTTAACCATCAATTAAACCAATGTAATATGTATAAATCACCATTCATGTTAATGTTCATTTTAAATGATTTTTCTTTGTGACATTATTAGTAGATTAGCTTTATTTACTTCTATGTAAAGTTAGAGTACTGACCATTTCTTGTGTAGAAACTAAATTGTGATTCTTGCACGACTTTTCACCTCCAACTACTAAACAGTCCATACAGATTGATTTAGAACAGTCTTTACAATAGTAGTCTAAAGCTTTCTCAGTGTGGATATTGCATTTATTTATTAAACCTTTTTGTTCTGTAAGAAATTGGAATAACTAAAAATTAAGGAACTTTTTAAAAATGAGAAAAACATTAGGAAGTTCTTTTTAATGTAATTGAATGTTCTCTATAAAATTTAAGGTACCCACCAATATCCTGCAGCTTATGATTTTTAAAGACAATAAAATTTTTATGACTTTTGTTAAAACAAGTACCACATATTACTGTAGCACATTGTTGGCACATTTTTGTAGTATTGTTATGGCACTCTAAACACTGACCTATAAAAACATATATTAAAAAAAATATAATGAATATTTTGTCACTTTCTCATGTCAATTATAGAAGCAACATAGATAAGATTATATATAACTTTTAGCTACTATAAAAGAATATACATAAATAGGTGTGAATAGCAAATCTATATAAAAAATAAATGAAGCAAAAACTTTGTACCCCTTTTTATAAAAATTGCACGGATGGAGGAGTATAAAATTTCTTACACATAGTTTATATAGAAAAGGAGTGCAGAATGATATTTTTTTTAAATTACACTTAAAAAACAAATTACATTAAATCAATAAAAAACATTACACACACTACCATGAATAATTATTAATGTTCAAATTTTAGCTCACTAGGTGACCACTAGTTAATATAAATAATTGTTCAGAAAATATTGCCAGAAATACAACTGCTTATTGGGCACAATTTTTTTCTTATAAAACCATAAAATTATATAAAAAAAATACATATGTGAACTAAAAACTTTTTCATCAAAATCTAGTGAGAACAATTTTTAATAGTGTATTAAAATTATAATTATATATATTAAAAATATATAAGGGTTTATTTGCCTTGAGCTATATCTTTATTTTGCAAAAGGTCTTCCAACTGTAAGAAGTAATCTGCATCATTAATTTTTTCTTCTGTTTTCATCTGAAAATAGATTTATCTTTATAACAATTGTAAAAATATTGTAGATTAAAACTGATACAATAAGCATTAAAAAAACTTGACTTAGCTAAAGAGTTTAGAATAATATATCACTGGAATGAAAATATACATACATCATTTTTGATATTGGTGATATACAGTAAGGTGCAAAACTGAGTCAGTACACTGACATTTTTTATCAAATCAATCAATCAACACTAGTTAAAAGCTTTTGAAATCATATATGTTATTATTATAACCCACTAAATATTTCACCCGTACAATTTTTATCCAATATCTACGCTTTAAAACTTTGAGATAGTTAATATTGATTGACTCACTTTAGCACCGTGTAAAAAAATGTCTTCGCGCTCAAGTATAAACGTGTTTAAACTTGTCAGGATTAGTATAGAAATATGATTCCGCTTTGTTTATTACTCAGTTTAATTCGATACAGCGTAGTGAACGGTTTAACTTAATACATCTCTTTTCGATACAAACATGAAACCGATTGCAATTGATTGGATGAGAGTTATTTGGTCAGATGAGACCAAAATTAATAGATACAGTACAGATGGTCGAAAATGAAACTGGAAGAAAGTCGGTGAACCATTACAAGCAAAAGATTTTATACAAACAGTGAAGCATGGTGGTGGCAATATTAAATTGTGGGGCCGTCTAACAGCTTATGGCGTTGGACCAATTTACAAAATCGAAGGAAATATGGACGGGAAAATGTACCGCAACATTCTTCAGACACATCTGTTGGAAGTTGTTGAAAATATGCCGTACCCTGTTAATGAAGTAATATTCCAGCAGGATAATGATCCGAAGCACACATCGAAAATAGTAAAAAATTGGTTGAGTAAACAAGAGTTTCAGGTCCTGCCCTGGCTATCTCAGAGTCAGGATATCAATCCGATAGAAAACTTATGGGCATACTTGAAGAGCATGCTTTTAAATGAATATAAAGCACCACCATCAAACATTACTGTTCTCTGGGAACGTGTTCAAGAGCAGTGGTACCAAATTCCACCTGAGTATTGTGAAAGACTTGTAAAAAGTGTGGAGAACAGATTGCGTGCTGTTATAAAAGCAAAAGGTCTTTGGACTAAATATTAATATTATAAAATCAGTATTTTTTTTTAACTGGTGCAAAAGTGAACCAATTCTTCTTATGATAATTATAAACCAAAAGTATGTTCAAGACTATCGGACTTTCTTAATAAAATTAATGAATAAATCTAGTTTTTAATGACATCATTTATTTGTTATTAATTAATTAATCCAATATTTTTTTATGCTACTTTTTATAAAAATGTAACATACTGACTCAGTTTTGCACCTTACTGTATATCGTCCTTTTATCAGTATCTTACTCATTTACGAGCTATTGATTAAAAAGGATGATAGAATTTTTGAAAACTTAATAGGGAACAGAAAATTAAATTGTATCTATTTCAATTTGTACTCAAAACTAAAAAATGTGATAAATTCATATGCTTCATTACAGTAAATAAATTCAATTAGATTTAGTGAAAAATTTTAGCGTAGCAAGTTGAAAAGTACATTGATTGTCAATTGTGCTTTTCTGTACTTGTCCAGTAGCATACATAATTAAATCGAATGAACCATACCTCTAAAGATGTCAAGACACATTTTGATATGAAGGGAGTTATGGATATATATTTTCTATCACTTACTTTATCTTCTAACTCTAACAGTGAAAATAGATAATGATTTCATAGCAAGAGAAATTACCGCAAGTAAAATATAAATAATAAAATAATATTTTTGAAAGGTATGTTTCAAATAGTATATGTATGTATTTGTATATATAACAAACGTTAATATTTATAAAACAAATTACCTCTAACATTTCCAGCGAAAGTTCTCCAAGCATGTAAATGTTTACTGGGAACAACTCACGTAGTTTGAGTTTATTTTGTAAAAACAATGCTAAATCATTAGCAGTTATTTCCATGTCTTTATGACATACTTTGCAAATAATTGGTTCGGCAAATTTAACCAGGTTTGTAATACATTTTTCACATATTGAGTGTCCGCATTTTAATAATAAAGGTATATTATCATTATATTGATTTTGGGATAAAGCTGCAGAAAATATTTTTTTATTAATTTAAATACTACGAAATACCAAAAAAGTCAAGAAGTCGCTTCTTCTTCTTCTAAAGCTGTTGGCGGTCCATATGATATCGCCAATTACACATTAATGATAAAGAAACAAATGGTTTTAAATAACTAAGAATATCTTGTGGTTGTTTATTTTTGCTCCGCTTTTGTGATGATATGATGACGAGAATGATAAATCTTTTAATATATATAGTTTTATGTATAGGATATCTAAACAAATTTACATATACCACGATTCTATAAAACTGTAAAAAACAATCCAAGAAGTCGCTTACATTTTAAATTAAAAAATTGACTGCAGTTTGGACAACAATTCTTAATTTTTTTGTCCATTGTGTTTATTTCAATAATTACTACACTATAAATTTATATTAACCATTTAAAGATTCATTTTCATTCTAATGATTTTCTCAATATTTATTCAGTGAATTCAACAGATTTTCTGCTTTTAAAAACACAGCTCGCCGCCATCCGCTGTAGGGATGCCGAAAAAATATCGATGATATTTTTTAAAATATATCGATATTTATGGCCAATATATCGATATAAAAAACTGAATATCGAAATCGTATCAAAAACGATATTTTTATTCAAACTGATTCAAAACCGTAAAAGATAAAAATGAACGGAAAAAAAACTGTTATCTATATACCAGTATTATCGCGGATGCAAAGTTGCATTTTGTACTATAGTTATGGTATTTATACTAACTACAATTTAATGCTTCGTATTTTATATTATCCATATCTTAGGTATAACAAGGTATAGAGGTGTTACAAATCATTAATATTGAACTACATATTATGTTAATTTATAAATAGCATGTAAGAAATAAATGGCATCAATTAAAGTAACTTAAATTTAATATGTAAATAAAGTTAACAAAAATTTAATTATAATCAAATTTTCAGCAATTAAATGTCACATAATATAATATCGAGTTTTCATAAAAAAATTACTTGATGTCATAAAAATTATTATCATTTAACCACAAAAGTAACTTTGTTAGAATTGTCGTTAAACATTTTCATATCAATCAAACAACTCTAACTAAATTCTGTTGATGTCTTTTAGGACAAGTCTTTGCGGGTTTCTTTTTGATCCATTAAAACTTCGTTTTAAACAATTCTTTATGTTTTTTTTACAAAGTTAGATGTTTTTTAATTACTTATTTTTTGATTCGATTCAGGGCTAAATAAACTGATTTATCTGACTAAATAAGCTGTGTCTTTTTTTTTTCAATGAAGGTTTTGATAAATAACATACCTAAAAATTTATATTAATAAAAGAAAATTGATAAAAATTAATAAATAATTAACGTTTTATGAAAATTTCTCATTCGCTTAAATAATGTGAATTTGGTATAAAAATAGTACAAAATTTTTTAAAGAAAAGTATTTTTTAAAGTTTTTTATAGTGCTAATCTCTGCACTTAAGATTGAACATTAAAACATGATGAAAAAATAAGAAAAGATTGTCGCCGCTGTGGTATTTTCTACATGTTTTAAAGAATAGTATTTTATAATAAAAAAATTATAGTACACTTTAGCATTTTGATTTTAATGCCACTAATTTACTTCTCTTCCAAGTTTTTCAATTCTCCAATAAGTTTCGTCTCTATAACTTTTTCCTTTTTACACTTATTCTACCATGTTTGATAGCGTCACAACACAATAAAATGGCGTCTATGGATTATATTTATTTCATAGCTGAGTTTAGGAACTAATAAATTAATCGTATTATTAGACTTTATAACGTTATTTTTCAACAAGCTAAATATAGAAAAAAATATATATTTAACGGAAAGTCACCGTAATATTCATCATCATTATCAATCGTTGATAAAGATTATTTATCGTCCGTGGTAATAATTTACAATGACACGTGGTATATTACCACGTGTAATTTTCCAATTTTTAATGTTCTAAACAATTTAAAAAATTACTACATTTATTAAATTACAACGGTATTACAACCCAAAGTTTTTGGGTTGTAATACCGTTGTAATTTAATATATATTGGTCATTTATGTAAATTAACGCAATTATAGTATATTTCCGTATTACTGTTACATATGGATATTGTACAGTACGAAGTAAAAGCTTGAAATTATAATACAAAATATTATCCTGATCTTACGATATGAAGGAATAGGCAAAAATATCGATAAATATCGTCGATATTTTTATTCCCGATATATCGATGTTCGATATTTATTTTCGACTATTGAATTCGTGTCAATTTCGATATTTTTAGCGCAACTCTAGCTTGATACGACCTACATGTAAATGTAGAGTTATCCACCATCACGCAATTCCTGAAGTCTGCGTCGCGCCGATATTTCGATTCCGCCGCCGCGCAACCCACTAACCGTAGGTGCCGTCACCTACAGGCCCTTGTCGCTAGATACTTTCCGCCGCGATTACCGAAGACCGCGACACGTTCTCGACTTCCCTGACGATGACACACACCGCAATCGCCGGCGAGTGCGGCAAACATATACTAAGTTCCGCCACGTACCTGGCAGATTTTCCCCTATTAATGATAGAAGCGTTGCTGGAGTTTCTTCCGCCACTTCTTCTCCCAGCGCCAATGCTCTCCGAAGTGGTAGTAATGTTAGCTCTAGTAATTCCCCCAGTCAAATAATAGCTACCGATCGAGCCGAGGTCCGGCCCTCTCGGGCACCCTCGAATCGGAATGCTAAACGCGTGTTGAGTGACAGCCCAAGCCGAGGTCCCCCTCTCGGGGACCCTTGAGCCTGTTCACTCCATGGAGCGCTTGCCAAAGCGCCCTAAGAGCTTGGCGGCCTCCCAAACCAGCTGATAATAATAGCGTGACGGCCCGAGGCGAGGCTCCCCCGGGAGCCCTCGAGCTTAGTCACCATAACGCGTAATAATAATACGCCGAGGTTCAGGCTAGGCGCCTCGTGCGCCAGGCCACCTCAAGCCCGTCGAAACTGTAAAGGCCCCTAAGGCCAACAGTGGCTCATCCAACCCAAAAAAAAATCTAGCTTGGTGTTTAGTGTTACTAGATGCGTGCATCTCGATCGTGCTTTTCTTTTTTATTAGAGATTTTATACCAAGACCTTTAAGCCCATACCATGACATGCATACTAATAACTAATACTATTAAACCATCAGTGTGAGACGTTTATGACCCTATGACGTTATGAAGTTAACAAGCAATTAACAATTTTCGGATGTTTTTTTTTTTTTTTTTCAAAAAATCAAAAAAGTTAAATTTAAATTGCACAGGGAAATAATTAAAAAATCTAAGTACAATTTTTTAATTATTTTCTTTCATAACTTATCGTTGGAGAAAGTTTCATATATTATTAGACGTCGGCTAACTTCAGTGTCATGAGAAGTTGATCAACTAATTAAATTCTTATACTATTTAGCGTGATGCTATGTCACTTTGCACGCATGCATGCATGCACGCATACACAGAAGCCCGCACTAATCCTAAACGGAATGTGCCGATTATTGTACGCAAATTTTTACAGGAAGTCTAAATAATAATAACCCGAAGAAATTCTTAGAATTTGGAAAATGAACAAAGCTCACTTGGCTTAGTGGCCCGTACAGGCTTGATCATCCCGAAATATCTACTTTAATATTTAAAGATTTTAAACCTGTATGAAAACACCTACATAATAATGGAAAAAGCACTAATCAAAACACATCTGCACATTACGCAATAATAAAATACAAAAAGGTATTATATCCACCCAAACAAAAATGAAATATTAAAAGTGACAGATGATATTAGGACTACAATATCTTAAAATGATTCGTCAAATCATAATTATATTGTGAATATCACACTAGGCATGGCCTGTATCGTGAGTTCCAACTCTACATGATTGCCAAAATCGCTTGTCGAACATTGTACATGAAATAAAATAATATCCAATAGATACGTTAGGTTAATAGTTTGTGCCAGGGACAGTAGATATTACAGCAAAATAATTTTTTTGTGCAAATCATAATTTATTGCATTTCATCAAACCTCAACTTTGTTCAGTTCATTGAATCTATATCCAGAGCAGTTGCAAGGAAGTTAGGCTTTCTTGCAAAGGCACGACGGTACTTCATACCTGGACAGCTGCTTCAATACATAGTATAAAACGAAGTCGACCCGCTATCTGTTTGTCCCTATGTATGCTTAGATCTTTAAAACTACGCAACAGATTTTGATGCGGTTTTCTTTAGTAGAAAGAGCGATTCAAGAGGAAGGTATATGTATAACTCAAACATAATATAGTAGAAAAACACTGATACCTTTTCGAGGTTTCTAATGCGATATCGAAAACAAACAATCAGTAATACACTTGTGCGAAGCCGGGACGGGTCGCTAGTACTCTATACAAAGCTCAAGTCCGATCTTGTGGTGAGTACTGCTGTCATACCTGGGCTGGGGCAAAATGCCATCTGACTGCCTTGGACTCAATGGCGGAAAGGCTCGTTGGTAACCGTAACTTTGATAAAACTAATTTCACTGGCACAGGCGTAGAGTACCCAGCCTCTCGGATGCAGTTTGTGTGGAGTTGCAAGATCTGAATCCTACCGCCCCTTTTCATCATCGAAAATCAAGGTATTCGGCGAGGTTTCACTCTTATGCTGTCGACGTTCCACGCCCAAGAACGACAGCAGGAGTATCTGGGAGTTCCCTAGTGATCTGGGGTACCAACTAAAATCCAACGTTGCACATGAACAACAATAACATGTAAACGTAATCTTCTGTAAATCCCGGCGCGACTGTGGCCTTGTCAGGCCTCCTCTCTCCGGGTTTTGGACACTCGGTCTCCAGCTACATGGTGTCGTTTCGGTACAATGAACACGTCACTCCGCGGGGCAGCAGTTAGTCCCACATCTGCCGCCCCGGGGTTTGCTATCAGGGTGAAAGGTTGCGCGTGTAGACCAGCCTAATAAGCTTTTTATTAAGCCGTCATGGCAGACTTTGTCGAGCGCAACGTCAAACAAAAGTAACCCACGCAACTGTCCCTCTGGGAGTCTTTTTTTATGTGAGAAAGTGGCAAACGAGAAGGCGGTTCACCTGAAGTTACTTGATAACCCTCTGCCCATGGACATTTGTAACACCCGTAGGGTTGCAGATGCGCCACCTCTTAATAATGTGGGCCCCAGCTACCTCACTCACCAGACGAAACGCAGAAGTTACAGACGGAACACTTCTACTTTACGCCGATTTTCTGTGAGGTGGTGGTACTAACCAGGACGGACCTGCCCATTCGTGCACCAGCAAACACCGTTGAAAGGCCCTACAACCGTAAAACCAACTGCGAGAAGGCAATATGTTATAGCGTGATGTTCTCTATCAGAGTGTCCCATTACTTCACTCTTGGTTCTTGCATGAAAAATAGACAAACATTTTTACGCCGTCGTGTCGCCGGAATCAAAATTGTGTTTTCTGGAATCAAGCCAAGACGCTTTAATCACTAAGTTAAAACGACTGATTACTAGGCCAACGGAAATCTACGTATTTAATACGACTTTGTTTTTCGCATTTTCAATTCTTACAATTTACAGCAATTCTTGGCGCATATATTACTATGTCCATTACAGCACACAAACAATTTCAAATAACCTTTTACAACAATAATCCGGACAAGAGGGGTCCGTTACATTATTGACATTTTAATTTTTATAACGCCGATGCACTTTGGACTTAAGGTGTCAGTAACATTTTTGAAAATTTTTTTCAGTAACGTTGTTATATTTTGCTTAGATCCTCCTTGCTGTACTCTAATTGCAATTTCATTCGATTTCAAACTTATATTTTCGCTTAACGAAATAACGTATATCGTGATGTATCGTGGCAGTAAAGAATGTTATTTAAAATAATTAAGTGTTATGTAAAATATTAATGGAGTGTGTCTATAAAGGGTAAACGTCAACAGCCGTCTGCAGTTTGTTATTGCAGACATAATACATCGACTAAGATAGCTGTCCAAGCAGACTCTTTATGACAACTTTTAATTAAAATTAAGTGAAGTCATAAAGTTCTAGAAAGTGTAAAAATATTTAATTGTATATTGTCACAAGAATTACAATTGACTGTTTATACAGTGTTAGCCAGTTCTTTGAATGTTTCGTCAGAAGAGGTCCGCAGAGACCCATAAACTCAGAATAAAACCGTCACTGGTGCACGACGAAGACCGGGTGATGCCGCCCGCTTCGTTACGTCACAAGAGATACTTATGTGGAACTGGTTTTGTTATACAAAATCTAGGATTGAGGCCGACTAAATGAAGTTTAATTTAATCCTAACAAAACTGTCTCCTTATAGTGACGGTACATCCCTTTTTGCCACAGACTCAATCGGAATTCTTAGCTTCAAAGGGAAATCGTGTCTAAAACTATCGGTGTCTTAAATAGAGCGAGACAGTATTTTCTGCCGGTGCATCGCTTACAGTTATATAAAGCACTGATTCGGTCGATCCCAGCCATCCAGCTCTATTAATTCCCCTTTAACGAAGAGCTGCTCGAGGACGTCCTGTGTGATCGCCTCGACCTTTTAACGTACGGAGACATGTTGCATTTCTTGCATTTTCTATCGCATATTTTCTGGAGTGCTCTGAGAAATAATTGTTTGGATTAATACCTGCTGCTTAGTTTCGCTACCGGACAACTAGTCAAACCGCACAAATACCATTACACTGCTTTGGTGGTTGGTTGTGCGTTTATTAGGCAATTTTCTGCCACGCACAGCGGTGTAGCGATGTGGCACCAGCTGTCGCCAGAGGTATTTCCATACCGCTATGACTTGGAGACCTTCAAAAGGAGAGCCTACTCCTAACTAAAAGGGCAGCAACGAACTGGAAAATACTTCTGATGTAGTAAGCGTTCATGGGTGGCGCTTGGTCGTTAGACTCCTTTTCCTTAAAAAATCCTTACTTATCCTTACTAATGTTATAAAGGCGAAAGTTTGTATGTATGGATGGATGTTGGTAACTCTTTCATGCAAATACTACTGAATGTATTTTAATTAAACTTTACCATAACATAGCTTATACATCAGAAGAACACATAGACTATAATTTATATATATATTATATATATATCTATATATATATATATATATATATATATATATATATATATATATATATATATGTATATATATGTATATGTATATCTGTCTTTCTGTCTGAATGTTACGCCTTCAGCCGTAGTCGCGGGCAGCAGCTAGTAATAAATAAAAAGAGTAGAATTTTACTTGCAAACATTTTTAAAGTTATACTTCTTTTGGCGACTTGAAAACTTTTCACCACATGATGACAACCAATGACAACTTTTTGACACTTATCTATAATTGCAATCCGAACCGTTAAAGGTTCGGATTATAATCCAAAAATCTCACGTTTTTTATATACTTATTAATTTATCTCTACGAACATGTTTCTATCGATATATGGAAACAAGGTTATTTTCCAAAAAGATATTTTGGAAAATAACCATTCCATGCAAGACAAGAAAAATTTCATGCAAGACGAATGTCCAATGGCCTCTCCATTGGACATAGGTGATCACCAGCTCCTCAATTTTATGGGTAAACCAAATGATCACCAGTACAGGATGGTATATAGTAATTTTCTTGAACAGCCTTGAAGAGAGACAAAAAGATACGATTTCCTTAGGAACGCACTATTCCCATGCCAATGCCGTCAATATTTTCACCGTCTTTTACCTTACTAATAAGACAGTTACTTTCTTATGTTATTTAAAGTTACTGGTATTTATATTTCAATGCAACCAATGGCAATATTGGATGTTTATAACTTTTAAATTTATAAATTTTATTTGAAAAGAATTTAAGCATTAGGATTTTTTTTAATTATTGTAATTAGTTCGGCAAATGAGGACTGTCAAACAACATGAGTATGAACAAACATTTTTGGCGCTACGGGGTTCGAACCTCCGTCTTCTAGGTAAAGCGCCTATGTTGCATTTCTGAGCACACAGACTGTTCATATGAGTACAGACACTAGCATTAAAAATAAAAATTAATCTTAAAACGATCAGAAACACTAAACCTAAACAGGTTTTTAAAAGATAGTGCAGTCATGCACTCATGTGAATTGCTTATGAAAAAAAAAATATTGCGAAAAGATTAAGTAGTAGTATTTCTTAATTGTATCTATTTTGAAGTAATAGTTTTAAGGGAAATACTATAGCAGGCATATTATAAAAAATATCTTTGCGGAATACTTTAAATAATAAGGATAATAAGGATGGATTAAATAATAAGGATGATAATGATTAATTTATTTTAATTAATGGTCATATTTTAACTGTAGTAGTTATTCACACAGAATGGCACGAATAGGCAGGTTGGTCCATGGAAATACTAAGATCTCATAGAAGACCTACCTGAAGTGGTAGTGGAAGCGGCCCATTTCATTAAAAGGTGGCTACGCATCAGCAATCCTACGGATGTAGCAGACATCCATGGTTCGGCAGTGTTTATTATTCAACATCATTGGAACCACCAGCTCGCTTGCCAACTTCACATAAAAAATATTTTAGACTGTGGATTTGGAGATGTTACAAGCTTTAGTATAAGCCTGACAGCCCTTACAACGAAGTACTAGCCATAATTCTGACCTTCTTAATTTCCTGATTTAACATAAAATTATTAAATTAAACGGATTTATTAAATTATGAATGCATTGGCTTACTTTCTTTTTTTGATGAATACATGATAGTTGTAATACACCTATATGGTACACCTATTTCTTAGAAGTGGCTACGATCCATTAGTTAAAAATATTTAGAGGACATTGTTTTTCAAACAGATTTTATTTAGAGGTATTAAGTTGTTTGATATACCGTATTCGTCGACTGACACTGAACATTGCGCTGTCGACTGGCTCCGAAAGCGCACGCCAGTACGGTCTTACACAAGATACGGGTCAAGTGTAGACGACGTGATTCTATTAATCACAGATTTAAAATAACTTATTTATCAAATCCGCTGTTATTTCAATGCCGTTTCTCAATTGTTTTATCGTGTCAATCAATCGTGATCTAAGATATGTCGGTGATTTTATATGACAACTCAAATTAACATTCAACATGATTGGAGGAAAGACAACTTACAAATTTTCGGTGATCTTCTTCACCTGCTTGGCCTTGACCGGTAAAGTAACTTTATTTTTTTATAATGGTGTTTAATATTACATATGTAAAATATTAGTGTATTTCCACCTCGCTTATTTTAACCTTAACAAGAGTAAGGAATATTTTCAAAAATATTAACTATTGATAGTAATTTTAAACTTGAAGGACACGTTACATACACGTGAGACATAAATAAACCCAAGTAAGATTACCCTGAAAACAGTTAAGATAATAAATGTATTACGACACTATAAGTTACTTCGCTTACGTCTTTCATAAGAAGCAGGTAAGAACGTTTTTTTATTTAAAGATTTAACTTTTTTCACTAAACGCATGAAATGCATCGAAACGCATGCAACGGAGTTCGTTTATTGTTTAAGAAATTATATATTGGTAATATCATAATTTTAACTTTTCTATCTATTGTAAGTAATTTATGTAATTACTAGGTGCCTGCGACTTCGTCTACGTAGAAAAGGCTGAAGGTGTAACATTAAGCAGAAAGACAGATATACATAAAATATGTATATACATTATAGCCTATGTCTCATTCTGATGTATAAGCTATATTATTGTAGTTTCATTAAAATCCATTAAGTAGTATTTGCGTGAAAGCGTAACAAACATCCATCCATACATACAAACTTTCGCGTTTATAATATTAGTAAGGATTATTATTATATATAAAATTCATGATATAATTAACAATCAAATAAAGGCTTTTTGTGATAGTGTGAGATTCCAGACGTTACTTTATGTTGAGTTAACATTATGTTATTTTCGGATGTTTTCCTTGGAGGAATCCGGGAATAAAGAAACTTGAATCGTGAATAGTATTTGAGAATTATATATTGTGAATGAATAAAAGTAGAAAAGAGATTTTATCGGAACGTTTTGAAAACTACATAATTTTTTGTTTTGTCATTTTAAATATATCATTTGTACTAACCTAATATGAAGTTCAACTCGGCCCCTTATTAATGCGTCATGCGTGTAAGGACTGTTGAAGGTAGTTACGCTTGAATAAGTATGTTGTATCTGTCTAAGGTTATCATATTACGAGCATTGGCTAGCCAATTCAATATTTCTTTTAATTATACACAATATAACATTTTGGGCAGAAGATCGAACAGAATAGAAATTTCTAAACAATTCCAAATCAACTAAACTATTCTTAGTTATAGGAATAATTAGAAGACTTAAATCGAGGAAAATATATTTTAATTCACTAATTTTTATCCGAATTTAATAGATGACGGTCATTTTTCAATGTCAATAATTCTACTAAAGTTCAAGATAAAAGGAATCGTAAAATTAATTGATTCTTGATCTGCTTAGAAGACAATCTATGGAAGAGTTTTATTTAATGATGAATTAATTAATAAACAAAGAATTTAATTTATGATCATCTGCAATAACTCTACTGAGTTACGCATTAAAGATTTCATTTAAAGTAAACAAAGTAACAGCCTATACATGTTCTATTGCTGGACATAGGCCTCCTCTGTACAGAGGGATTCAGGGCATAGTCCATAACTGGGCCCTCTGCGGATTGGCGGAATTCACATATCTTCGAAATATTTTCTTGTTATCACTTGAATCGAAAATATGCAGATTTCCTCACGATGTTTTCCTTTACCGCTGAGCATGTGATAAGTCAGCACTTAAAATTAACAATTTCATTGGTGCTGGCACCGGGGATCGAACTCAGGTTGCTCGAGTATATACATTAAAGACAAGCGCCGGGACACTGAGCCACCATGGCTATCACGGTTTTCATTTATTTGCTTCCAATTAAAGCCTGGACCTAAGAGAATACTATATTTTATATATAAGTTATCTTGAGGAAACAAATTACGAAGTTACTCTTATATGAAATCTTGTGAATAGTTTTAGGAGAGATTATTATTAAAATACAATATAATTTAATTAGGTAATATTTAAAATTGTCATATCTATGAATTCGTGCTTCGCAATAAATTAATCTCCAGAGTTTAGTTATAACTAAAGAATGTGCTTTTTTGTGAGATCGTAAACTAGCTAGGATTGCACGTTGTAGAAACGCATGAGTACATCAATCACTCCAAACTTACATAATTATATGTTCTTGACAACACATGCCGCTAATACCAGAATCATAATAAATACGTAGGTCGTATACCTAATGTTACGTTGAATGATATACGGATTATTGCACTGAGTTGTAAGTGTAGACAAAAAACAAAAATTAAAAGCGACATGCTATTCTCTATTTACATTTTTTAAATTATTGTCTAATTTAATCTACCTGATAGCATTACAATAAATCGAGAAAGAAGAACCTTAATTTACCAACAAGTTGTGAATTGATTTTTTGCTAAGAACGTAGAATCTATTTCAGGTCATTTTAACAATTTTTCATTCTAAAAATGACACTTGTTTATTTCAAAACAAAAATTAAAAAAAAAAAAAAAGTTTACGTCAGTAATGAATAGATGTTTGCATCTAAAACAGATTGTAAAAGTCATTCTAATTGTTTTAGAAATATTAATAAATTACTAGAAGAGATTTTTATTATAATGTTGCCTCATAAGATAGAGGCAGCATTTTAATTTAGAGAGAAAGGAGACTGTATGTAAAAAGACATCAACGAGAGTAATGAAAAAGTCGTTTTGTGTTTTCCGTTTACCATTATATCTATTTACTATTATATTCATTAAAGCATACACGCTGGACGGAATTTTGTGCCATTTTTTTTGTAATTTTATTGATAATTATGATTAATATCTGTTGCAAAAAAAAAGTAAAGTACTGATACTTTACTTTATTTTTTTGTTAGTGCGCAAGCAGTGGGACATGTATAGGCTGACCTATACATTACCGCTGGTATATTGTCGTGTCGCTGGCTTCGCCTACAAAAAGTAAATAGGTCGTTCATGGGGCAAAGTGTGCGCATATATAATAAAATCCCACAGTCGATATTAAGTCTGCCGCTTGACCTATTTAAACGTAAAAATAAAAGTCAACTTATGGTAAAAGCATATTATACCATTGCGGAATATCTGGACATCGCCAATGTCTGGAGTTTATAGTGTTGATACTCACGTAGGCTAGAATAAGATTATTATACGTGTATATTATATTGTAAACTGATACTTTTGAAAAAGAGCAACTGTTGAGTTTCTTACCGATCTCTTCTCAACAGAAACTGCTTTCCGAACCGGTGGTACCTTACGAACTTATATACATAATTTTTGACGTAAAATTTGACGATTCATAAGAGCGCCCAAGCGTTTATTTGAATAAATATATTTTTGATTTTGATTTTGGTATCCGAGTTCCGACGCGGTCGTGTGTCGCTCAGCACTGTTTCTTCTGCAGGTCGACCAAGAAAAGCGGTCACGCCTGAAAACATCGCAGCAGTGCGACCTATTATATTAGATGACCGTCATAGGACATACGAGCAGATTCGGTCTGTTGTCAGTATCGGAATGACTGCAATTCAGTCGATATTACATAATGAGTTGTGTGTAAGAAAGCTAGTTCCGGCTGGGTTCCCCACAATTTGTGCGAAGAGCAAAAGACGGCTTGTGTAGATTGGTGCCGGAATACTCTGCAATACTTCAACGGAGGGAAGTCAAATGCCGTTTATAATATCGTCTCGGGTGACGAATCATGGATTTATTCATATGAACCTGAAAGAAAACATCAGTCAGCAGTTAGGGTCTTCGAAGACGAGGTCAAACCAACGAAAGTGATTTGCTCCCGCAGCGTGTGAAAGAAAACGGTCGCTATGTTTGTCTCGAAAAAGGGGCATGTTGCTACAATTCCTTTACAGGAACGCAGAACGGTTACCGCTGAGTGGTATATCACGTTTTGTTTGCCAGAAATGATAGCAGAACTCCGAAAAAATAACCCGAAACCTCGTATCATCTTACATCACGATAATGCGAGCTCCCATACGGCTCGGAAGACAAATGAGTATCCATATAGTCCTGACCTGAGCCCAAACGATTTCTTTACATTCCCTAGAATGAAAGATATATTACGCGGTTAACGATTAGAAGACCGAAGCAGCTGTGGAAGGGTACAAATCAGCCATTTTGTCAACATCAACATCAACATCAGACTTGGAATTACTGTTTTGATGATTGGTTTGCACGAATGGAAAAGTTCATTAAGTTGAACGGAGAATACTTCGAAAACAATAAAATACAATTTAGCTATACCGTGCATGTAGTTCTTCTCATTCCCGATCATTTCAGTGTGCTTCTCCGTAATTTAGCACTTAAAATTGACAATTTCATTAGTGCTGACACCGGGGTTCGAACTCAGGTTGCTTCAGTATATTAAATTAAAGGCGAGAGCTCAACATTTTTGATTATTGTATTATATTCTAATTGTATTTTGAAATGAAAAATTTAAGTAAGTAAGAAGTTAATATGACCTGAAAAACCACGTTATTCATATACCTGTAGTTATGAAAGCCTAAAGTCAGGGATTAGAGGAATTCAAACCTATCCGTTTTATATTGTACTAATAACTAAAGTACCTACTAATTTTTTCATGCTGAGTAGAGTTAATGTTTTTTAGAATATATAGGTAACCTGTTTTATAAAATATATTTATTCCAGACTAAATACGTATTTTTTTTATTTATTTTAGGAGGTTTGGAAGAAAGGAGTCGAGTGAAACGCGTGCGGGCGGACAGTGCAGGGGTGGTGAGGGACCCAGCTCAAGCACTCGATGCACCAGAGCCAGAACTCTCAACCAACGTTCCACCCTCCTTCCTCAGCCCTTTGGTGAGGGAATACCTGGAGCTCGGAATGGCAATACCTGGTAATTAGAATTTGTCATTAAAATAAGATTAGGATGCCACGAGTTATGCATATGTAAAACGAAAAAACATATTCTATTATGCAATTGGCAATATTTCGAGGTAACATCGATGAAGTACCATAAAACACATCAAACAGCGCGTGGGTACCGTGAACATTTGAGAACACAAGGTCACATGGCTTCGTGTGCCGAACAGCCTTGCTCTCCCAAGCTTGATCTTCTTAATTGTGCTAACAATTGCTCATTATGATTTAGTCGGTAATCATGCGCTTCAGTAACCAAACTAAAGTTAAATGAGTTATTAAGCAAGAAATCTTCATTGCTGCATGTTATTAACCCATTTTAATGAATAGTGTAAAAGCATTATTTATTCTCTTATTATTATAATTTGTAAACAACATTAAATTCTTTGGTTGGCATCTAATTCTTTTTTAAAGTATCGTAATTGGATAATTTTTTTCTGGAACTTAAGCAAAAATATATCAGCATCGTTATCTTGCTCGAGGATTTATCTCCGTATTTATCACCGCTCTCGAAAACAGTAATTATCAAACCAGCATTTCAATTCTTACAAATTATAAAAAAAGTGTTACTTAGGTGTACAAATAAAATCTAAGAGAGTTTTAAATTTTTAACAAGAAATCTGATACTATCTTAACAGCTCATTAATTATTAAACTGTAAGCGGTTTAGAAACGAATGCACTTTGTTGGCAATATGTACTATGTCTCTGTAACTGGCAACGATTATTTGGGTCACGTGTGCGCAATATTCGAAATATTAACGACTCGCATGGATGAGCACTGTGACTACGATGTTGTATAGTTATATTAAGATTTGACTCTATAATGTCTGTATTTTTATTTTTAACAGATATTAATGGTAATTTAACAGTTGTAGTCAAAAAATATTATGCAACTTTTCTTAATGACAAACAATTGATATGACAGGTTTTTTATACTGTTTAAAAATATTTTATAATATGGTTATATGAAACAATTTTACGGATTCATCGCGTTTTATTTTGATGCCTGAATTACATACATACATTTTATAATAACTAATGAAAAAGTATGTTGTTTTCACCGAGCAATATTCAATTTCTGCGTGAAATACTTCTAATATATAAAATTCTCGTGTCACGGTGTTTGTAATTGAACTGATCCGAAACGGCTCGACCGATTTTCGTGGAGGGTGGAGAATCGAACAACATCTATTTTTCATCTCCCTTAATGTGAAGGGTGGTCCACCCCAAACATTTTTTAATTTACATGGCAAAACATCGTTTGCCGGGTCAACTAGTAAACCTTTATAAATCGTAAAGGGGATTGAAGTGGGCAATCATCTCTGACTATGTTATAAAAGTCTCTTTGAGCACAAGAAGGTCGTGCAGAAAGCAGAATTCAAATTAGAATAAAAACAGGTATCTTCATAGTCTAGTAGATTTATATTTACATCTTTAATTTTTTTCACCGCTAATATTATGTGTTTTGACAATCTATAGCAATTTCGATTGTTCTGTTAAGATTTTCGCTAACGTGTTTCTCATATATTACAAATTTATTCACTGTATAAGGTACCTGAGTTTCTTTTCTATTTATTTCAACGGTACGAGGCCAATTTAATAAAAATTGTTGAACCGGTCGATGAACAGGTTTCGCAAAGTTTCTTCATCCCAACTTTGCTTATAAAGGAGTAATCTGTGGGTACGATAAAGCTGTGGGTACGATAAAGTCGAACACGAAGTATGTAGGTAAATAAGGGGACTTTTCTTATGGGCCGTAAATAGTGCAGTGATTCGTCTTTGTTAATAAATGAAATAAACGAAACATTTATATTTATGAAAGTAATCAAAAAATATCCTAACAACTATTTTATATTAATAATGTATATTTATGTATTGCATACATGTTTAATTAATATTAAACTACCTCTGTGTTCATCATCAGTTTAAAATATAAACGTTTCTTTTATGAAATTTAAAATAAACTAGCTGTTGTCTACAGTATGGCTCTCTTATATTTGGTGGACCTTAAGTCTTGATAATGCCTTTGGATGAACAACCGGTCTATGAAATCTCCAGCTTATAATTTACATGTCGTGTTGCCGGTTTAAAGGAAGACGAATAACAAAACACATATTAGGATTTGTATTTACATGGCCTTTTGGGCACGTAGCTGCATCCTAGTATAATTGTAGACCTCGTCTTGATAATACAATTAAACTGTTGTCAAATAAATGTGTGAATATGACCTCACTTGGTTGAATCGTTCAGAACCTACACGGTCACTAACGTAGGACTCTGTACGATTATTCACGTAAAGATACTTAAATATTTTTTCTCATGTGTAATATAGATTAGAGTCGAATGTCAAATGGACGTAAAATTTGCTCTTGGACAAGGTTATACTGTGGCACAGATTGTGCAAAGAATTAGCGCGAGAGTAATAATTGTTTCCTGCTTGAGTGTAATTTTGTTAGTCTGCGCGTGAACAATGGGCGAGAGGTCGTAACGCAATCGCTTCGGCTGAGCAATACATGACTATGCCTATGCATAATTTTTGAACTTTCTATACATATAATACTGTAACACAGTGCGCCTTAAACAATTTTAGATGCTGTCTTTGTCTGTTGAGCGATAGATGTGACTTTTAATCTTAAGGATATGTCAGTTCCGATGGCTTTAATTTTTAAATATTGTTTTTCTATCTTGTTAACATCTTCATTAGTAGTTTCTTCTAAAAAAAAGTCAGTCTGTCCTATGATCTTGAACACTGTAAAGTATTCGCAACGCCGCGGCGTTTAAATCCGCTGGGAGTTTAAATCCGATGTTCATTAGTGTTATTACAAGTTATCAAAAGTTTAGTTTCTTCTAAAAAATAATTTTTTTTAGAAGAAACTAAACTTTTGATGATTTGGAACGGCCAGTTAATAATATTGAAACTGATACATATATACTATGTTGTATATATTTATAGATCTCTATAATTTAACATTTAAAAACTTATTTTAAGTTAGGATGTTTCATAATTACACAATCAGTTGGATTTATTTCCTAAATAATTAATAGTTTTTTTATTGTAATTGCTTAATATTGTATTTAATAATAGTAATAGAAATAATTCATAATAGTTGTAGTAACAGTTTGTAACAGTTTGTAAGTATCGAATTTAAGCGAATATAAACAAACCTCAAGCATGGAATGGTGCAAAAATATTTTGAATGTAGGTAACTAATACTTAATGATGTCTTGAAAGCTTATAAAAACTACTTTTAATTTTTAAACAAACAATTAGAGTCTTGGGTACGGTACAAATGTGTGAAACATTTTAATTGCTGTAACTAAGTTATCGTCTTTCACCATATTGTTTATATTCGTGCCACTATTGCACCACTTCACGTTGCTCGGAAGCACATTTTGCTAAATTAACAGAAGAAGTTTTTGCATTATCGCAAAACAAACCGTCACATTTTTTTTAAATGTTTTTATTTTTGTTATATTCGTAAATGAATCCAAAAATCAATTATCATAATTATGCTATTTGTGTTACAAAGGGAATGATCGTCGGCAGATCCGGTCAAGCTTGTTTCAAGCGTTGAAGACGATTTACTAACCACACATCTATAAACGAGCCCGTCTTTTTATTATACCTAAGTCTTTGTAAGTCGGTATCAGTGTTTTATTTTTTAATTAATTTGTTTGTTTCGTAAGCCGCGCTGCGAGTGTTATGCCCTTGAGACTCACAATACAGCAGTTCTCGTGTTTTATTAATATAAACTTGTGTCTTATACATTTAAAAAATGTTAAGCTATCTATCTCTTACATTATTGTATAATACTTGCGCAAGTAAATATATTTATCGTATTAAGAAACTATTAAATTATTGACAGTTAAACGGTTTACTTCTCAAGTTTTTTTTAATAAACAACCCAACCGATTTCAAATATCTCACTTTCTAGACATTTTTATTTGATTAGTACCCAGATATATTTCTGGAATCCAATGTCAAATACCAAAGAAGTTAATATGGGACTACATGAGAGCTACATGAAACTTAATATAAAAAGAAACTGTTGAAACGGTTCATAAATGACGAAGTTCTGAGGTAATAAATAAAAAAAATACAACCGAATTGAGAAACCCCATCTTAGTTGAAGTCGGTTACTTGATAAGTAATTGAATAGAATAAAGAAATTAAATCCAAAGAAAAGTAAGATGAAGTCAAATCAAAGCAAAAAAGGTCGTCCCTGATGTCATATGTCAGGGAAAAAAAGAAGTAAAGCTTTGTAAATTGTTCTTGTATGTTTCTAAGAATTAAATTGGTCTATTTTTTTGTCTTAGCGTTTGTCACATTTATATATTATATACCAGATTTATATTTTCATTATAAATACATATTAATAATACCTTAAAGATTAACGTGAGTAAAATTAGTTAATTTAAGATAAAATGAACCATAATCTGGACGACGTTTCCGTATGTTCTAATTGACCTTTTGTGCGGTTCAATCAAATTTATCATGTTATGCACTATTTTAATGTTTTACTGATAATTAAAAATTCATTATTTATTTTATTATATTTTATACTTTACGGCATATTTAATATATTTTTATTATTTTTATGTCATATTGTATATTTGACGTGTAAAGATAATTCTACAATGATATGAATGAATACATATATAGAATATAGACATATATAGAATATATATGAATTCTATATATTACCTGTCAAAGGCCTTTTTGTCAGAACGCCGTATATAGAAGCTGATCCAAAAGATTGAATTTTAAAATTTTCTTTAAAATAAGATGCCTTTATTGATACGTACTTGTTTACACATTATTGTATTAGCATTTGGAGACAAATCACGGTGCTGTGCGAACATTTCGCACGGGTTAACTAATATTATAATTACATATAATTAAACTAGTTAACACCTATATATATAGACGACATTTCTATCAAATGTCATAATTGATTGAAATGTGTTCCATACATTTTAGTTATATTAGATTTTATTTAAAAATTTATAATAGGGCTGCTAATTTTTTCCGAGCATAAATGTTAATTTTATGAATACATAAAGCTTGTAAACTAAGAAACTTATAATAAAACTAGAGCTATTTTTGCAAGCTTTCTTTCGAGATGTATACACTATTTCTATACAAATAATAAAATAGATTTCGATGTACATACCTACCAACTTTGAATATATACTTAGAGCCTTAGAACCGTGTTATTTAACATTTCAAAAGGGAAGTATTAGGTCATCGAGACGCCAGTTGGCATGAATCTATCGTATTGCACGAATCCATTGGTTCAGGGAACGTTACAATTATCGTTGCGCGATTGGTTATCCAAGTAACCAATGAATTTATATTTCATCCATTGTTACTACAGTAAACTGTTCGGCAAAGACACCAAAGGTTAGAGGTGGCTGCCTCTCAAGTTTTAGCTAGAAATCTAAAATTTTGTTACGTTCTTTGTCTGCGTTTGTATTTAATTTTCATCCCACTTCAGTATAGCAGGAGATTCTCAATTTGGTCCAATCAAACCTTTTTAACAGACTTATTTATTTTTCTTAAATTAGAACTTTTATGAACCGATTTTAAAAATTCGTTCAATGAGCTCCATATAGATCTCGTGTGGTCCCATTTCATTTTAATTAGTATTGGAACTTCGATTCCAGAGAACGAAATATATAGTGTAACCCGTAGTAGTATAGTAATTGATATTTCACTCATCAAATATCTCACTCATAGTGAGTGAGATATTTGATGTCGATTGTTACTAAAATTATTTGTTATTAAAGTTTTATGTGATATTTTCGTTAAAAAAAAAACAGGTTTACGGTTTTATTACCTCTTAATTTAATATATTGAAAAATCTCATACATACACGCAGACAAATGAACCTTACTACACGAGGGAGCTTTTTGAATCGACGTTCTACAATCGGCTTGAACTAGTGAAAGTCTTTGCGGGCGAACTTTCGATCTCATTGGAGACTTCGGAGTACCGCAGTTGTTGAATCAGTAAACCGTGCTATACAAATCGAGATTTATTTGGTTTTATAACTAACCGACTTTAAAAGGAGGAGGTTATACAATTCGGATGCTTATATTTTTTTATGAATGTTCGGATATAACTCCGTCATATATAAACCGATTTGCAATTTTTTTTTAGCGGCGTTTCGAGATGTCCTAAATAAATACTAGTTTCGGTCAGCTATTTCAAGGAGTACTCTTTGTCAACGAATTTAGATACTTCTGTATTTATTTGATTTATGCTTCATTTTATATGGCATTGAAGTACTGAAACATTTACACATTGAAACAGTAATGTGTATCGCAATGTATTAGTTGACATAATATATATTACGTGATTAATTACAAAGTGCCTTTATATGTATAGCCTTACATTAGGCTTTTGATTATACGTAAAGGAAGTTAAAGATTGATTTTTGATGACAAATGACGCTTATAATAAGATAATTGCTTTGTCTAAAAACCTCCGTAAGTAGGCTGACTGGGAACCACATAACAAGTTATATGGTTCGTCTCGTGGTAGCTATTGTTCATATCTTAAAGGTTATCGATTACGACGTAGGCTGTGGGTTTATTGCAGAAGTAATTTAAAATCCATATCTAAATACTGATGAAAGATATTTTAAGAGATTATAACACAAATTCACAATTTCACATAACTCAAGATTAGTATGCGGAAAAGAAACACAATTATTTTTGTATTTTTGTTGAGATCATTAAAATCAATTACTTTATTTCGTATTGTTGAAAATGTGATATGTTATTTATATAATTAATTATAATTAAATATGAAGTATTAGTTAGAGTTTTAGGTATGTAGTCATTCGTAAGTTCAAACAGTGTGCTTATAAATTTTTGTATTCAATAGAAAGTTTTAAAAGAGCTAACTAGATTAGTTATTAATGTTAATGTGTGGATGATAGGGAATAATGTGTGGATGAATTTTCATTTGTTGTTAATTTTTTTTTAGTGCTAGTCCTTGCAAGATCAAAGTGAAACTTTAAATTGTAAACTTTCGTAGATAAGTTAGTTAACGAAAACTTTCGGCGCTGCTGGATTTAGACGCTGACTTTTTTACCTACAAAAATGTATAATATTTTATACCCTACGGTGGTAGGGCCACGCAGTAGCCTCGGCTGTAGCAAGAATGGGCAGGCCCGTCCGGGTAAGTACCACGACCTCACAGAAAGACAGCGTAAAGTGAAAGTATGACAAATACTTTCACGTTTCATATGGTGAGTGAGGTAGCCGGAGCCCAGTTTTCAAAAGGTGTCCATGGGTGGCCCATGTGTTGCGAAACGAGCAGACGGTTCACCTGATGTTAAGTGAGACATCAGGTGAACCGTCTGCTCGTTTGGCAACTTTTCACATAAAAAAAAAATCATAATTTAAGTTTCATTGTGAGCCCAGAAACTAGCACTAAAAACAAAAAATAATCTTAAAATAGTAAAAATGCAAGTTGGACTCGCACACGAAGGGTTCCGTACCATATACAAAACGGTAAAAAAAAATCATATCTGTTATATGAGCCCCTCTCTATTATTATCTGATTTTTCAAATATTTTTTTATCTGATTTTGAAGTTATACTTCTTTTGGCGCGTTAGGGAAAAATTATGAGAGTAAATTTTTACGATGCGCGCGTAAATCGTCATGAAAAACCGACACCCTGAAGTTTACTAGACATATACGTATGTTTGCGTGAGAACAGACAACTGTATTCACGATCTTTATTTTGTGATATTTAAATAAGCTTTATTTTACTAAATATTCCGTTATAATAAAACTTTCAATGTATTTTTAACTTTTTTCTATTGTTAGTGTCGTTTTTTCTACAAACGTAGAATAAGGCGAGAGATAAAATTTTTGAAAAGATTTTTATCTTTATTTTTATCTTGTTACGCCAAAGAAGTATAACTTCTGACACGTGTGTATAAGTGTACTCACACACTTTTTAAAGTATTTATTGTTATAGCGGCAGTAGAAATACATAATCTGTGAAAATTTCAACTGTCGAACTATCGCGGTTTATGAGACAGACGGACAAATAGACAGCATAGTCTTAGTAATAGGGTCTTATTTTACCCTTTAGGTATGGAACCCTAAAAATGTTAAACAAAGTCGTCCTTATTTATTATGTACACACATATTTAACTCGCACATATAACATACGTCTTATAAAAGAATTCAACGCGCTCAGCCTATAACGTGAATGAACAGTTTTGAATTTAAAAAGTATATATTTGTTATTAACTAACAGCTGTTGAAATAATTGTAACATAAATTTTATGCTAACTCTCGATGAACCGTAGCAAAAATATCTATAAGAAACAATAAAAATAATAAACATATTTAAAATTATTTTACAGTGTTGGATGGTAAATATTCAAATACTTTATAAATCACGTTTATATTTTGTGTTGAAGGTTGACGTCTAGATCGAAATCATTTATAAATCAATTCAAAGTCGTGATAGACCAGCTGAGCTCGTTAATAAAAGTTAGCATGCATAATAATTTTGGATTAAAAAATACGTGTAAATTAAAATTTTTGCGTTTAATTACTAAATAATAAATTAAAAATTGGTAGAACTATTAATATACATTTATAATATAATAAACATTTTTCACCATTTATTGCCGTATTACTAGAGTTACGAAATGTGAAATAGCAATAGAACTTTCCTATGTTGAAACATGATATTATAAACATAACTAGATATAACCCAATACAAAAAAATGCTATAAATACTACGACGTCCTTAAGGAAACGGTATCGTAGAATAATTATTTACTCCTAACATTGTTACGTATCCAATTGATTATAAATTAAAACTGAGAAAGTGGATGCACTAATTGTTATTCTTAATAGCATCACAAAAGTTCCAAGTTCGAGTATCAGTATGATAATTTCTTATATTTTCGCTAACGGTGTACATTACTAGGTACTCGTAAAGAAAATTATTTTCACGGATTTATTGCGTTCATTTTGCATTTTGTTCATGGTCATTAGCCATACTAAGTTAGACCCCTGAACGTCATTGTTATCCGGAGACACCACCAGTTACAACATGTTATAGTTTTTTTCCCATATACGCTTGTGATAAATCCGTGAAAATTGTTTAAATCATAAATGTATGTTTATGTTTAATTACAGGCAAACCGGGGACCGATTATCCGATACTCGGCGCAGTACCTTACACCAATTTCTACTGCGATGAACAAGCCTACCCAGGATTCTTCGCTGACATGGAAACACGTTGTCAAGGTAAATGTCATTAATGTAAACATAAATTATAGTACCTGGATGAACGAGATTTCCTCGGTTTTTTTTTCTCACAAAAGAAGGAACTTGAAAAAAAAAAAGTGAAAACCAGTGCAGTCGTTTCCGAGATTCAGATTATATATTTATAAGAAACACTCGTTTAATGATAGATACATAAACAAAACTATTTTCTTAATGATAAACAATTTATTTTCATAATTCTCTGTGTACATAAATTATAAAATAAAAAATAAATAAAAATATTATTACATCCAACATCGACAACATTAAATTTAACTTAATTATATATTATAAATAAGCAAAACTTAAAACTCACGTTTTTGGCAAGTTGATCTAGATACTTGCTGTCCTCCACAAAAAGAAGAATGTTGAGAAGATTAATAGTCTTAAAGTCTAATGCAATCAATTGAAATCCATTATTCATTGACTAGTTGTGATGTCAAAAAAGCAGATTCCATTTTAGTCGGCCTTCATTGGTGTGGGATGGATGATACTCGCTATTCAGGCTTGGGATGGTTTAAGGTCAACTAATTATGACGAAAACCGACCCGGAAACTAATTTGCACTAAATATCAATCTCGTGAGATCCTGGTTGTGTCGATTATGTTTGTAGTTTGTTGTAATATGCGTCTTTAAAAAATTGTTTTGCAAAGTTGGGGCACATAATTAATTTTTTTTTTGTTTTTTTTTTGTCAAAAGGGGCAAGGGATTGGCAGTTCACCTAAGTGTTAACCGCCCATGACATTTGCAACTCACATAGGGTTGCAGATGCGTTGCCACCTTATAATAAAGTGAACCCCGGCCAGACTCACCAGACGAAATGCAAAAGTATAACTCTTCCACTCATCGCCGTTCTTCTGTGAGGTCGTGGCCCTTACCCGGATCTACCCATTCGTGCAACAGGGAAGACTGTTTTTTGGGTTTATCGCGTATTTTAACAAATTTAATAAGTAACAAGTACTAACAGGTCCTAATATATGTGTAAACAAACACATATCAATATAAATCAAGCATTCAACGACGCTTAAACTGTAATGGGTACACATAGATAATGCCTATCAGTATTGGATTGTTGTTTTCACTCTTAGTCTCAGGAACTATGAAAAGTTTTATCGGGTACAATAGCAACATATGCGTGTCAATAGCACTGTATTGACACGCAAATATTATTAGTTATTTTTCTTTTCACAGATCTTATTAATTACATCCGATTTTGAAGTCGGACTTGATTCCAAGTTCAACTAGTTCCTGATGTTAAATCTAGTGCTATATCCGATCCAAGGATTTTTGCATATAAATAGTTAAAGAGTAATACATATGTGAGCCAAAAGTATAAGCCGGTAGTACCGAATTATTGATAAGACAGTTCCTGTACTAAAAACGTGCCTGTACGGTAACTAATCCATACTAATATTACAAATGCGTAAGTAACTCTGTCTGTCTGTCTCGCTTTCACGCCAACCGATTTAAATGAAATTTGGTACACAGATAGTCTAGAGTCAGAGAAAGGACATAGGCTATTTTTTAATTGGAAAAAAGTGTTGTAAAGGGTTGAAAATATCTTTCTTTAAAATATATATATTATATAGTTTTTAAAGAAAGATATTTATTTAAGAGCTTCATCGCGAGCGAAGCCGCGGGCGAAAAGCTATATACTAGTAACCAATATTTAAGAGAAAATAAACATAATTCCTTTATTTAAAAGCGGATGTAAATCATTCTTTTATGTGAGATGAATTCGTTTCATCAAACTAAATGAACTTGATTTGTAAAGGTTGTTCAGAATTTTCATTTAACTTCAAATTAAAATTTTTTAAATTGTTTAAGTTATTGTATGCAACGTAGATACAAATTTCTCAGCTTTTATTTATTATAATATGCATTTACAACTAAAATTTGTAAAAACAGCGGGAACGACTTTGTTTATTACGATGTCAAGATGATACATTTATATTAAAATTATAATATATTTTTTAAAGTTATATAATGGTTGCCTATTTTAGGTTTCCTGATTAAATCGAGACATTCTTTTACCCAATTTTAGACCATTCATTATATCACAGATGATTCGTGATAATGTTGGTGTTAATAGCCCCTCAACGTAACATGAACAGTTTAAATAGTTTAAATAGCGTCTGTATTTAAGTACTTAATTTAATAATATTGTAGTTAGACTAGGTATACAATTATGTTTTACTACAGATTTTATAGCGATATATGATAAATATTATTATAAATATTGCTTCAAACCCTATCTATCTTTTGAAATACATCGATTAATTATGATAAATGAGGGAATTGTATCAATTATGAAAATTCCAGTCTTGAATTAAAATTACAATTATAACCTAATATTATAGTTATATTTTTTTCAACCGACTTTAAAAAGGTTTTCAATTCGACAGTATTTTTTTAATATTTGTGACCTAATAACTTTCAACTGGGTAGTCCGATTTTGGTAGTTATTCTTTATTTATTTGTACTGGTGCTTTCCATGTGGTTCCATATTAATTTTAACGGTATCGGATCTTGGCTCCGGAAATACTAAGATAACTCCTGAAAAATATTGAAAAAATTAATAGTGAGCGAGATTTAAAGTCGGTTTTGTTTCTCGGTATAAAAAGAACTTGTTTATATTTCAGCATGGCACTACTGTGACATCGACGGTCGGCAGGCATCCTTCCTATGCCCCAACGGCACGGTGTTTTCGCAAGGGGTGGTGTCTTGCGACTGGTGGTTCAACGTTCGATGCGCGTTATCACCTGCCCTTTATCCACTGAATGCCAGGCTGTACAGGCGGAGGAGGAAGCAATCGCGTCCTAAGCCGCATCGATTGATAGACAAGAAACTGGTTGATGAAATATTTTTGTAAATAGTAACCATATGGTGTTAAGTTAAATAAAGTTATAAGGTACCATTAATTGCTTATCTCATGTATTGGTTTAAATAAAATTACTTAAATTTAGATTAGTGGTAATAATTAAGGATTTTTTTTAGATTTAACTAATTATTAGAACAAACAGAATATTTATTTGAATAAGAAACCGCAGCTATATATTTATTTCTTTGGTATCATATTAATATTAAATGTCAATAAAATTAAAAACCAAATTATTTTTGCGTTACCAAATGTTATTATTTGATTATGCTTAATTCAAGAGTAAGTATCCGGTTCAACTTGAAATTAAAAAAAACCTTATTTTAAACTTATTTAAAAAAAAAATCCTGTACTAATACTCAGACAAATTTTACGTTCGTTCTACAGTACGACTTTACAATGTTCATAAACCTGGGTGAAACACTTGAATAAATTTATATAAATATTTATGAATGTCATGTATTGTAATAATTGACATTGAGTTTTAACTGTGACCTCAATAGTTTTGTCTTATCTGAAGTTCATATTTTTTATACTTTGCAATGGTTATGCCACTGTTATTATAACTGTACAATTGTAAAATGTGATACTTCATTTAATTAGATTTTAAAAAAGTCACATGTGATAATTCTTTGAATTTGATTAATTAAACCAATAAGTTGTTTGTAATTAGTTAAAAATTAAAATCATACTAATAAGAGAAAAAGTTACAAGTTTTATTTGTGTTAACCGCGAAAATTATACATTACAAAAAAAAAACGAATTTACGGAACGGTCGCGGCACGGACTCTATAAATTGTTCGAACAGTCGAGAATTGACACCAAAATCGAATGTGAAAAATCCGTAAATTAGTTTTAAAATTTGTTTAAAATTTTATTGTCAACAATAATACTTTTTCCAAAACATGTTAGAGCTGACCTACAGCAATATAAATTTCAAATTTCCCCAACGCAAATTAACAATAAGGGCAAAGGACAAAAGCGTTAATTTTTAAATATAAAAATATCCTTTTAATAAAAACATTCAACAGGTGGATGTCTTAAGGGAAAGTTAGATAATTATAAACTTACTTATAATTCCTTCATTATAAAAAGAAATAATTTAGACTAATATTTCAGAAACTTTAATGTAACTTAGATGAGTGTATTCCACGCGAAGTTGTCGTGAGTACAAGTATAAAAAATTATACTTAAGGGTACACATGGCCATATTACAGCAGCGATGTACATGTTTGAATGCTGATTAATATGGCTCTGCTCAAGTAAAAGATCAATCCTTATCAAATTTTCATATTCGGTTGACAGTCAGATGAAGAAACGCATAAAGAACATACAAATATTCATTTTTATTTATAAGAAGTTAAGAAAATGAAGACGATTAAGTTTAATTCCAACTACAAATCTCAATAACACGTTTTCAAAGATAGGACGGGATACTATTATGCCGCGATAAATGTTTGCATTTTTTGGACGTTGGAAATGCGAGTTAAAACGGAAGTATTAAACAATATTATCGAAAAAAATAACTATAATCGCAGTGGTGTCAATGGGATCTCGTAATTTGATTAATATTCTGGTAATATTAGAAAAAACATGGTAATAATATACAAAGTTAGACTAGAAACGAAAAAAAAATCTATACGGTAAGATTACAAAACAAATTGTATTTAAGTATAGAATAAAGACAGAAGTTCACGTATTTTCCGCGAGGTGCCGCAATAATCAATACAAATGTGGTCGATTTGTAGAGAAAATTCCATGAGTCGGAATATTTTTTTAGAAAATGAAATTATTTTGTAGGTGAAAATTTGGCTAACGGGCGGGTTGTTCAGCTGATGTTAAGTCAGGAGTTGCTGGAGTTTGACCTTTAAAATAATTGGTCTCAATTACCGTATTTAATCTACTCTTACGGTTCGCTGCCCTCTCTCACCTTTGCTTTTTTGGCTCTATACGCAGGGCCAGATTTAGAGGTCTGCAGGCCTCGGGGCAACAAAAGAGTGGAGGCCCCTTGGCATCAAATTATTTTCTATTGATTTCTGTTAATATTTAATGTAATCATGTTTGTACAAAGTACTGTAGGTACAAGTAAAACGCGAAAAAAAATATGAAAGGAAAAGTTGTAAAAAAAAAGAAAAGTAAAGCCCCTCAATGCTCTCCCCTAAATGCGGCCCTGTCTATACGACTCACATTCTAAGAGATCCACAAGTTAATCTATACTATATATAAACTAACCCACTGGTAGTCAACGCCGCGAATTACCAACATGACACAAATACGAAAATCTACAAACGTCACCCGCGCAAAGCCCTTTATCGATTCGGTCTAACGCAGCCATGATAAAAAAGCCTAATACGTTTGGGGGCCGTATTAAGTCTGTACGAAAATCTTTTTAATTCTGCGTATGAACCTTTAACAATCTACGGAGTAAAAGCAAAAACATCAGTTAAAGTAAAGTTTATTGCAAAAGAGAGAGAATATTTTCAGTGATAGGTGGTGTATCCAGCAGGTGAGAATCTTTCGAACTTTCGAATCAATCCAGACAGGATGACGGTGATATCCGATAAATTGTGCCTGGAAATCGTAACGTGCACTGGGATTATAAGAAATCGACTGAAGGAAATAGGAAAAAAATAGGTATTGTTACCAACAAAAATTAGGTAACATTTTACGACGATAGACGATTTGGCTTATGGTGAATAAAAGGCTAACGATGCGTGCAGGCACAAAAGGAAAACTTTTGACGGAATCAAAGTGCGGTTGTGTGAAATTAGTTTTACTATTGGTACCCTGCGTTTAATTGAATACAAATGGTATATGTATAATAAGGCGATATTCCTAATTACCTAGGTTTAGGTCAATTTCTTGATTATTCATAATGTTCCATTAATATAGAATAAGCATGCAGCATTTTGAGGTTTTGCAATTTTGGTGTACTTGGATTAACTTTATAAATAGTATTTGTAGTATTTGCGTAAATCTATTCATTTATTATTCAAAATACCTTTATAAACAGCCCAATGTAAAACATACTAATGTTGCTAACACACGGAATTGGAAAAAACTTACAACATATTATTCAAAAAGTTATAATTCTTGCAGTCTTTTAAGAAACAAGAACAATGATAAGTCGCCCAAATTTTGCACCTTTGCAAATGACGACCGCCACAATGGCTATTTGTTTTCTAATGTTAATTGTGAGAAAATATTCCCCATTAATTCAAGTTTTTTTCCCTTTGCATTGTTATAGAGTTACTATGTTTAACTTTAAATGAAGCTAAGCGATTCAGGTTTAGCGGCTCTTATTACTTACGCAATTATTTCTTTAATTATTGGTTCACTTTTGGGTAATTGACATAACTTTTTTTAAGGTCAACCTAGTAAAAAATTAAATTACCTATATGACTTGAATTCGCTTTAAAAATAAATTGCAAGTAAGAAGTAAAATATTATTTTTAGCACTGTATCGACAAAATCAAATTGTTTGAAACTATTTATGGATTTTGTCGCTTTTAATTTTATTTTAAAAAAAAAAAACTTTGGGCATTTATCCTGACGTAACGTCCACCATGCAAGCTGCAATGTTCAAACTTAAAATTAATAGGTACAAATACAGTGTATTTGAAAATGTGCAATATTCACTTAATCATTACCGTTATGTTTTGAAAAACAGATGTTGTCATTTAATATTACCTAGTCAATAATATCACGAATTACTCTGCGAAACCATAATTTGATTCCACGATTGGCAGCATTTTTTTGCACTGCGCTCGGTAGAGTTTGCAAGGTCTGGTTCCGTTCTTGTCAGAACTTGCCGCTTGCATCGGTTTGGTTCTTAATTCGTTTGTATCGCGAACCGCGCCGCACGCATGTGCCACAACGTTGCTCTAGTGTTTACGTAAAGAAAAATAATCCTGCACGGTACACTTGTCGGATTTCATAAATAATCATGGAATACATAATGTGGCCTCGGATGCTAATACTGTGTGGTGAGTACAAAAAGGTTTCATTCAAAGTTTTTAAAAAATTAACGTGTTTCAAAATGAAACTAATTTAAGTAATATTTCAAGCGTTTGTTTTCTTGTAAATGTATTTGTAAGGCAAATTCAATGATAAAATATTATTAACTGATTGATATAAAAACTTACCAAACGTGTATTCTGAAGAGGTTTGACCGATAATCTCGTAACCGAAAACCCGGTTAAAAGAAATGACCGTAAGGTCGTCGCGTAAATTATGTGCAGCAAACTTCTCTCATAACTTCGTTAATAATAATTAGCGTCTTAGCATTGCCTTGTGCTCGTTTTCTATTTTTTGCCGGCCGCTTTTCTTGTATGGAGCAAGCAGTACTTTCGTCCATTTTCAGGGTTACCATGTATTTTTGGTATAGGATAAATTAAGTGATTATAATGTATGATTAAAATCACATATTAAACCATTTTTAAATTGTTTAAGAGATAAATTCGAGTGATTGCTATTTGTTAAACTGCAACTTGATGTCCCTTTTATCCGTTTGAGGATAGTCTTGATTTAATTTTAAGGTTTTCCTTAATTTATCGTTAATAACGGGATGTACACTATACTAATTATGCCTTCACAATTAAGCATTACATAATAAACATGTTGTTTATATAGGTACTGCTTTCGCTAAGAATCTATTGCGGTAATAAACGTAGTCCTGTCTGTCGATATTTTTTTCCCGTTCAATCATTGTTAGCGCATATTGCATTACGAAAGGAAATGTTGCAAACTTCGGTAACACATTGTTATAATAGCGGTCTCACACTTGAACTTGTCCACGCAATATTTATAAATTCGTCAGATACTCGTACCACAACAAACTCAAGCCCTTTTCTGTCTAGGGTTTCCTTCGCGATCTTTTAATATTGACCTTCTTGTTTTGATACTTCATGTTCGCAAAGCAATTCTTAGCGCCATGCCATTATATATTTTTACCAGAATTTGAGTTATTATTAAAAAAATAGGAGAAAGTC